TCTGATGTATTTTGCCATGAGAAAGAAATACATTTACTCAGAAGATCACAATGATTCCAGCAGAATGATGGCTCTTTGAAAGGCAGCACCAAAATTTATGGGGGGGAAAGTGAGATTTTTATGTTTCTCAAAAGGAATCTTGAGTCAAAAAAGAAAAGACTGAGAACTTTGGACTGTATACTCTGTCTGACTCTTTATGTGACACTGGTCAAGTACCTGACTTTTTGTAGGCCTATTTCCTCATTTGAAAAACCCAGTACTAATATTGGATGAGTCACTGACTCTAATCTGTAAAAATATTTTTTCATGGCAATTCACAATATTCCACAATGCTGGGAGGTAGAATTGAATATAAAAGAAAAAACGGGTTTTATATGAAATGACACAAAACACTATGTCCCTTCAGGTACGAAGTTCACGAAAGGTAAGTAACTCAAGACAAGGAGTCAGTTCCTTCACTGAAACTATTTGAGCTGAAAAATTGCACTTGACTTTCTTTTTTAAGCATCATTAACTTGTCAGAAAAGAGCTGAAAGTAGGTGTGATATGAAAGGGCTCTGCTTCAAAGAGCTGGTAAGATGTGATCGCTGGAATTTGCCATCAATTTCCTGATAGGGAAAATCTCAAATGGATCTGCACTTCTGAGGGACGACTGGACAGGAGCCTATAAAAGGTTAGGTGTGCACTGCCAAGTGAAGAAGTCCTAGTATACCTCTGAGACTCTGTTCCCCCACGTTGTGTTCCATGTCATGGCTACCAGGCCATACCCTGGAGCAAGAACCTGTCTCAACCCGTGAATTTCAGTAAGTGGATATACACTTGTAAAATGTCAAACAGCCAAGTAGTTCCCAAAGAATGATGCTTAAGGAGTCTTGACTCCCATTTCCCCCATTTCTCCCCACTTTTATCCTATTATACTAAATTTCTTTCCTATTAAACTTTACCATTATTTTTACTAAAAAAAAAAAAAAAAGATACTTAACATTTGAACCATTTCCAGCATAGGTGTTACTTTGTTTACACATGACACCCATTTGTGTTCATACTGGTATAACTCCATAGTACAAGTTCCTCAGTTTGAACATCACTATAAGGTATAATTCAAAGAGCCTAGTACAAAGTCAGTGTCTCAGTCCAGGCTTCTTGGGTGCTGATTCCAATAGTCTAGGTGTTCTGACTTGCAGAACAGTTTTAGAGGAAACTGTCAAATTTGTGTTACCTGTGAGGGAACCATCACCAGCCTGATGCCAAAGCCATGTGACCCTTGTTCACATCAATGAGGAAAAGTTAACCTGAGTTGTGTACGGCTCTCTGTTTTGTACTTTCTAGGGCAAAGTCTACACTCTGCTCATCAGAAAACCATTGGGAATTCCTTTCTGGACACTCAGTCAGTTGGATTAACCATTGTATGAGTTTATAGAATTTGTCTACTAACATGCACCTCCTTGTCAATTGCAATTTTCTCTGCTTCTGTATAGGATTTTATGAAGACACCATCCTAGCAAGCAAAATACGGCTGAGAGATAAGCACATAATCAAGAATTTGCTGAGTTTCTACCACGGATTCAGTCTCAAGTATATAATGAGCTATCTGCCTTCAAAGACCCCACTGTCTAATTGGAAATATAAAGCTAAACACACAAAACACCAATTCATTAATAAAGTCAGATGCTCAATAATTCTGGGAATATGGGAATATCCCTACACCATCATACCACTGGCAACTATTTTGTTTTACTTGGTCTTGTCTCCCCCATTAGAATGGAAGCTCTGGAAGAGAATATTTTAGTTTGTTCAATTCGAGTTTCCCAGCACCTAGCATGTAACTGGTGCTCGGTAAAATGTGTTGATTGAATGAATGAGAAGTCAAGTCCCTACAACAAAGAGAAGGCTTCCTGGAGCAATGATGCCCCCATCTGAGCCTTAACCTAACTGTACTTTCATTCAACCTACTTTACAGCAATCTATAAATGTTAACAACCTCTTCCCATTTACATAGCAAAAAGGAAATGTGCATGTAATTGAAAAAGAAGGTGGGGTAGGATGAAAGCAATTTAAATTGGGTGTTAGGGCCCCTGTGACTATCCTGCCTCACTTTTTTTTTTTTTTTGGTGGTACTGAGATTTGAACTTAGGGCCTCGTTCATGCTTCCTAGGCAGGAACTCTACCAGACACATCCAGCCCTTGGATCACTTTTGAAAGGAGAGGTTTAAGACCTTTAAGGTCAGGTATGATGGTGAATGAAGAAGGCATAAGTAGGGTAAGTAGGAGGATCAAAGCCCAAGGCTGGCTGGACAAGAACATGAGATCCTAGCTGAAAAACAACTAAAAGCAAAAAGAACTGGAGGTTTAACTTAGGTGGTGGAATTCCCATGTAGCAAGCACAAGGTTGAGTTCAAAGTCCAAGTACTGCTGAGAGAGAGATTGAGATTGAGAGAGGTTTCTCTTAGAATGAATGAATTAGGCTCAAACATTGTTTTAAAGCAAACAAAACCCCAATAAATGGAACAGGTGAAAACAGCTGATCTTGTTGACTTTGGGGTGGTGGTGGGAGAAATTCACAGATGTCCATCTTCTTGGTTTCCTCACCATTACTGCAGAGCTACAGCCTCTGGAAGATTACAGGAACAGTTTGAAAACCTTGAACTGAGTGTTTGAGAGCAGGGTCTCCATTCTCAAAATTCTATTAATGGAGGCAGCTAAGGAAGGACCAGGTCATGGCGAAGGAAGACCTAATCTCTGCCACTTTTAAGCTGAGAATATACGAAGAAGTCTCCCTAACACAGAAAGAACCACGTAGTCTGGACCAAAACCAAGGCCCTTTCTCACAGCCAGACTTGGGGAACTAGAAGCCACATTTTTCTGATCAAAGACTGATGAGGGTAATTGACCTGTGTGACTTGGTATTGGTCCTAACTTGATTCTTTCTCCCAGCCCCCTTCCCAAAGCTCGGAACTAAAGGAACTCCTCTTCACATGGCAATTTACCTGGGGATCAGAGTTGATCCAACTCTTATACACAAGGTAAATAATTAGTCTGGCACCAGCCCCGAAGGAAGATGAGTCTGATTCATCTGTCACCATCCTCAACTTTGTGCATCTGGTCACTGCTTTAGCTGTCCAGAGGACGCTAAAGAGCCTGCAGAGGGGCTCAAAGAATAACAGAAGAGGGATTAATGAAGGAACACATTAGGGTGTGCTCAAAGTTTTAAAACTTTCAAAGACTGTAAACAAGGCATAAGCTGAGTGTGGTGGCAAATACCTGTAACCCCAGCACTCAGGTGGAGGCAGGAGAATTTCGAGTTTGAGACTGGCCTAGACTACACAGCAAGACCCTTGGGGGGTGTGGGGGAGATGGCTGCTGTTACTAGAACCAGCAACACTCCAGGGAGGAGGTCTTCAAAAGGGAGGAGGCCTCCACTAGGCCTTTGGATACCAAGTTCATGATGTTGTCACAAAAAAGAATTTTAGGAGGCAGAGACAAAGAAAGTTTATTTTAGTAATGTAAAACAAAAATAGAAACATAGTACATAGCTCAGACATGGGTGTTGTCACTGCATCTGTGAGGTGTAATGAATGAAAAACTGGGATGCTGTTTGGTTTCAATTTACCTTAGGAAGTGTGCTCCCCTTTGTTCTGACACCTGGGATAATTAGTTGCTTTTGCTGTTACACTGTCTTATTAATTAGACCCAAATATTTTAAGATTTGGCCACTCATTAAATTTGAGTCATTGTGACACAACGTTTGAACATCCCTTTAAGCAAAGAATGGGTCCTCCAGAAGTTCCCTTCCAGACAGGTGTCCAACTTGCAATAAGTATTATTCTTCATAGACACCTTCTGTGCCCAAGAGTCATTTTCCCAAGAGTTCTTTCCCAGCATATGTATTTCTTTAAGACACCCTTGCTCAGTTCTCAGAGTGCACTCATTTTTGGGCAAGTGGTCAAGGTCAGAGGGAGAGAACTGTTCTGCCCCACACACACCTTTTTTTTTTTCCTTTTTAGTAAATGTTGCATCTTGTTGAGGGAGGGTGACATTTAAAGCAAAGAAAATAATGCCTACATGCTTTTAATCAAACCCTTTGTTAATACAGTGTTTATTTCTGAATTCCTGGTTGCTGTCTCTCATGCCTCAATTTTCCTCATCTTGCCTCAAGTGGTAGAGTGTCTGCCTAGCAAGTGCAAGGTCCCAAGTTCAAACTCCAGCACCACCGCCAAAACAAACAAAAACAAGCAAACAAAAAAAAACTACAGAGCGAGACCCTGTCTCAAAAGACCACTACCACCAAAAACCAACAAACAGCTACAAAACCCGGAGCACTAGAACAGATAAAACTTTACCTGATCACTTGGCCTGAAAGATGTCACCTTCCAACAGTTGCTGGGAGAATTAGGTGAAAATACCAATTCTATGACACAGGTGAGGGAATAAGGAGACGATAAGGGTACGCGGAACATAGAATCCCTGAGGAAAAGAACTTACTGAATTGGAAGCGCCTCGTGGTTGCCAGGTCACTTTATTTATTGTGTGCTGGAGATCGAACCCAGGGCCTCACGCATGCTAAGCATACATTCTGTCACTGAACTACATTCTCAGTTTCCAAGTCACTTTAAAGATACCCTCTGGGGCCAGCTAAACTGCCTTTCTCTCTTTGACCTTCCCTGCCACCACTGAAAACGAACAGAAGAACTTCATTGCAACGAGCTGGGACGAGTCCCGGCATGCATCTCTCTGAGTCTAAAACTTTTCAACTCTAGGATGCAGCTTTTTCCGGAAATATTGCGCACTGGAATATTTTGGGCTGGCGGCTCGCCGTAGCGCGCTCATTGGCGCCCAGGTTACCGCCCCTTTCCCTCGCCCATTGGTCTCACGCACGCACACGCGGCGCGTGCCCACGCCCCTTCGGGGCCTAGGACGCACGCGCGCGCACGCTCCCCGGGCCCGGTAGGCGGGGAGGCGGGGGTTGGGGGAGAGGAGGGAGGGGAAGAGGGGGAGGTGTCTACTCCAGTGAGTTGTCGGCGGTGGGACGCTCAGTGTGCCCGACTCTGTCTACCTGCCGGGTGGACGCCGCACCGGCCTAGGGCCGGCGGGAGGGTTCGGAACCAACTCAGCGCACCTCACCAGCCGGCGTCGGGCCGCTGGGACCCGGAGGTCCACCAGGGGCAAAGCTCCGGCCTAGGCCCCGCGGAGATGTCCAGCTGCGGCGCTTGTACCTGCGGAGCGGCAGCGGCCCGGTTCATCACCACCTCGCTCGCCTCCGCGCAGAGAGGTAACGAAGTAGTCCCGCGCCTGAGCCCTCCCTCGGCCCTGGGGAGAGTGGACCAGTGGGGACCCCGGGGAGGGCTCAAGGCCTACCCTTTCTGGGGTGTGCGAGGGGTGCTCCCGCCTGGCACCCCTCGCTTTCGCCGCGGGATGGGGCTCTGCCAGCCTCTGGAGCAGCCGTTTCTCAAATTTGAAGAAACCCCTTTGCCCTGGCCTGCCCGCGCCGCGGGGCCCTGGGGACGCGGTCACTTCGCAGAAACTGAGAGGATCGCAGACCCACTTGGCGATGCCCGGGCCGCCGCAGCCCGTCTGCCCCGGCCTCGCGTCTTTTCCGGAGCCGGGCCAAGTTCCCCTCCGGCCTGTCGGGGGCTTCAGGGGGAGCTGGGCTGAGGGGCTGTCACTTTGGGGATCTCCCGGAACCTCTGGGCGTCCGGCCAGCCTTGTGGGACGGAGGCCGCGCAACACTCGAGGTGTCACTGTCATTGTGCGGGCGTCACCACCGGGACATAAACAAGGCTCCGAATACTTCTGACCTCGGGCACACGGCAGGGTCCCGGGACAGCGCCGGGGAGGTCGGGGGCTGGAGTCCTTTTGACTTGCTTAGGCAGCTCACGGTCGTGTGCCGGCACCCAGCCGGACAGTCCTAGTGTCCCAAGAGTGGCTCTTGTTTACCTTTCCGCTCTGGTTATCTGGAGCTGCGCGACTGCCACCTTAGCCAAGATTCCGAAAAGAAAACCAGTTTTCTCTTCCCCAAATCTATGAATATCAGACTACGAGGCTGCGTCCTGTTCCAGCCCGAACTTGTAGACGGATTCGTTTCGTTTGTTTTAAAACGCCCTGTTTTCCTGGTGTTTTTGGTTAACTCTGAAATCCTTGTTGCCTACGAAATGTATATCCTGGCCGTTTACTTATCACACAGGAGAGGATTGTGTGGGCTTATGTGGGCAGAAGCATTTTGGAAAATGATACGTAAATGTAAGGGCGTGAATTTAGTCCTAAAACATTGCCAGCCCTCAACAAGAGGACGTGCCAATACCACGGCCTTGATTTGTAAACACTTGACAGTGACATATTTTTAACCCACTTACTTGACACACATTTGTTGAGGGCCAGGCTGTTTTGGTGCTAGAGGTAGTGAATAAGGTCCTTATGTTTTAAATTTACTGAAAGACAAAAATAACAGTCTTTCTAAGGGCAGATAAAGTATTTAGGTGTTCTTTTGGGCAGGGAAACCTTTGAGAAAGTTCTTGATATGTTCTAGTCAAGAGTTCCCGAAAACTATGAATTATAGGAGATAAGTATTTTTTAATTTCAAAACCACTATTTTAAAGTTAAGTAAATCAACATAAATTAATGGCTTATTTATTATCTTCTCGTATAGTCATTAATCTAACTTTGGCAGAGGTTTTCAGAAATATAGAACCATTATTTTCACTGTGAAGGAGTAAATTAAACTTCATATATAAGACAGCACTCACTATCACATGATTTACTATTTTATGTGACAGTGATATAGCAAATGGCTTTAATATTCAAGACTTTCCCAAGCCTTAACTACAAAATGTTTCTTTCCTTTTTCTTTGTTTTTTGAGATGGAGACTGGCCTCCTGACTGAAACAGTTCTCCTATCTCAGCCTCCTGAGTGCTGGGACTACAGTTGTGCACCACCACGCCTGTCTAAAATGTTTTCTTTCTATAGTAGAAAGCCTATATGTAGGCCTACAAGAAAGGATTCATTAGGGCTAGCAAAATGGCTCAAGTGGTAGAGTGCCTGCCTAGCAGGCATAGGCCCTTGAGTTCAAATCCCAGTATTGCAAAAAACCAAAAAACCCAAGAATTTCTACCAAAATACCTGTGATTCCTAAAAGAAATGAGACCTTCTCGGTACACTGAATTAAGAACAGAAGAAATTTCAAAACTTCTGAAATAGTCTTCTATTTCCACAGCCCTGTCTGTCATGCTGGACTTAAATTTTTAAACGGTACTTTGAAAGTTATTATGTAATTTGGCATACTAAATGCTGGATGTTTTCCTGATGGTTATGTGTATCAAATTTAATGCCTTTTTCATCACTATTCTCTTTGAATATGAAACCTATAGTAGAGCAGAAATTTAAAAATTTCTTTCCAGCCGGGGGCCTGTGGCTCATGCCTATAATCCTGGCTACTCAGGAGGCAGAGATCAGGAGGATTGCTGTTCGAAGCCAGCCTAGGCAAATAGTTCCACAAGACCCTATCTCGGAAAACCCTTCACAAAAAAAATAAATAAATAAAAAGGGCTGGTGGAGTGGCTCAAGGTGAAAGCCCTAAGTTCAAGCACCAGTACTAGAAAAAAATAAATAAGAATAGAAATTCTAAATGACATTGGTTGGTCTGAATTTGGCTGTAAGGAGTGTAGAATTGAGTGTAACTTCCTTGATTTCTCACTACCTTCAGTCCTGTCCTTTCAACCTATATGGGTATAAATGAAGAGCTCAAGCAAGGTGGCATCTATAATTTTCATGTTACATAAGGTGCCTACCTTAACAATTGTAAGCTAGATTTTAATTAATTTTTTTCTGCCTCTGTTAAATATAATTCAGATTAAATAAGGAAAGTGAATAAACGATAAAGCATCTTTATTTATGGCATCACAAAACATTTTTTATTCAGTATTTTTATGGTTAGCAGAACACTGGTATGTAGTGAAAACTCATAAAACATTTTTAAACTTGAGGAATGTTTTAGAAATGATGTTATTTTTCTTAAAAGTATTCAGAATTTATGAAACAATAACTTGGACAAAAATGAAAATTTGAGACTAGAAAATACGGGAGGCTTCTGTTAAATTGTGGTATTGTGAGTTAGAGGTCAAGTTTTTAAGAGACATTTAACTTGATTTGCTATTTTACCATGTTACACACTGAAATATTGTCACTAAAATAGATAATTTTAATTTTTCATGGCATTTCTAAAACATAGATTGGTTGATCTTTTAAGCTGAGTCATTTGTATATTTTTGGAGTCTCTTTAGTTTAGATTAAGTATAGGAAGTCAATTTAAAAGTTGAGTAAATTGCCCTCCTACATTTTAATAGCTCTTAAGTGGATTTATCGTATTCTGATATTTTTAAAAACAGCTGCCCTGAAACTCAGAAAACTTATCTGTATGACAGAAGCTTTGTAGATAGCTTAACTTTTAACTGGTTTTTATCATTGCTGCCAAGTAGTCTTGCAAAATATACTTTACCAAAATACTTCCCTTTTTTAACTTTCAGGGTTTCTTCACCTGAATTTCACTGGTCCCCAAGGGTCCATGGATAGAATTCAGAGATTCTGTGAACTTTGTTCTCACTAATCTCTACCTGAAATATAGCACTTTCTTCAATTATAAATGTAGGCAAAAAATTACAGTAGCCTTAGAAGTTTTTGTGAATTTGTCACTAGTCAAAATCACAAATATTTTCCTGTTACATTTCAATTGCTGGTATCTCAAAAGGCCATTTCTAATTTTCACTACTCTGAAATCATGGTAGTTATTAAAAGAGTTGCCTTGATACCACATCCTTGATTTGTAAACACTTGACAGTGACATATTTTTAACCCACTTATTTGACACACATTTGTTGAGGGCCATAAAGAAGCATATTTAATTTTTTGAGGGGGGACAGTTTTGGTAATCTAACTCCAAGTCTTAATGCATGGTAAGTGAGCACTGTACCACTGAGCTACAATCCTAGCCCTAAAAATATTTTGATATATACTTTAGTATAATTGATTTCCTTTGTTATTCTATTTTCTTTATTCTATTCACTTAAAAACATTGTTCTGAGAAGAGATCTGTCTAAATGCTTCACCAAGGAGTTCATGGTACAAAAAGGGTTTAAAACCCGATTAGTTTGCTACAGTGCTTTTTTCTGTGAAGATTTGTTGGATTGTTGAGTAGCTACTTTAATTGTTTAGTAGAGTTGTGAAGTGTGGTTCCCCAGAGAGCAGCATCAGCATCACCTGGGAACTTGTTAGAAATGCATTTTGGGTCTTCATATCTAAAGCAGAACCAGGGAGAACCCCCTACAATCTGTTTTATTTTATTTTTATTGGTTGTATTGGGGTTTGAACTCAGGACCTCACACTTGCTAAGGAAGCACTCTACCACCTGAGCCATGCCTTCATTCCCTTTTTGGCTTTGGGTTATTTTTCAGATAGGGTTTCATGTTGTTGCCTAGCCTGGGACCTTGGTCTTCCTACATACACTTCTGTGTAGCTGGGATTATAGAAATAAAGCACCACACTTAGTTTGTTTGTTGAGATGGGGTCTTACTAACTTTTTGCCTGGCTGGCCTTGACTGGTGATCCTTCAAGTCTCCACCTCCTGAGTATCTGGGATTACAGTCATGAGCCACAATATCTGGCCTGCAGTCTGTTTTGACAGATCCTCCAACTTACTCTATTCTAATGTTCACTCGAGTTTGAGAACCACTGGTTTAGTAGTTGACATCCTGTTGGTACTCACAGGGCCAACAAATTCTTAAATTCAGAAGTTTAAATGAAATGAACATATTTTCCAGGTAGTATTTTCTGTGTGTAGTGGCATTGGTTTCCTCTTACTTGACAATTAAATTAGGTATGTTATTTAACAGCTTATTTTTCTTTCTATTCAGGTAGACTTAAAAGGATCATGTTGGTAATTTTTATTTCTCGTAAATTCTTGAAGATCATTTCCATTAGCATATTTTCTAATAACACTGGCTATTAAAAATGTGTACTGCAGGGTAAGTGAGAATGTACACTATGTATGGTGCTTCAAGGTTAGATTAGTCCTAACATCTAAGTACAGATAACTTCACGTAGGGTTGTTCATAACTGTACATTTCTTTGTGAAAATATTGTAATGGTTCAGTAAAAAAATTATACTGGTTACATAAACTAATAAGTTATTTTGTTAATGCTACCTTTGATAGGAAGTTTTTCAAAGACAGAATAGAACAGTGAACCCCCAAACACCTGTCATCCAGCCTCATGAACCATTAACTTTCCGCATTTTTTATTTCATTTATCTTTTTCCACTATGGCTGTTTCTAAGCTTACTTTTTAGATGGTTATAGTATTTATCTGTTGTTGCAGTGCTGGGGATCTAAACCCAAGGCCTTTTACATGGCAGGCAAGTGCTCAAGCAACTGAATTACATCCCACCCTGGCACAGGTGTTTAAATCATGTCATTTCCTTGCAAAAACATTGACATTTAGCTTTAAATTAACAGTAAGATGACTGTTGAAATCTCTTTCAAACGAGTGTCAGGGCTATCACCAGTTAGTGCAAAAATGAAAATGCCACACTCGAGAAAATTCAAAATGTCTTTTGAAAATTTTACTTTTGAAAATTTTGAAAACATTCCATGGAAGAAAAAAATCAAATATGGTTCATTTTGTTTTTTACAAATAATATTCAAATTTAATAGTTAATATTAAGCAAATTTTTCAGTTTATATAAAGTAGGGACTGGCTTGTCAAATCTTTAATGCCTTTTTGGTGTTCTTTGCAAATTTAGAGATGGTAGAATTTGGTTCCTCTTATTTGTATCCTTTCTTAAAAGGGAAGGGTTCATTTTTATACTTTGTAGAACTGGAATGGATGGTGTAGGATGAAATAACTAAAGAGACTAGTTCTAACAGTGTACACGAATATGTCAGAAACTTGGAGTTTATAAACCAGGCAGTTATATAACTAAGCAATTATTTTTGAATTGGAAGACGTAATTTTAAATCAGTTTTTGCATTTGGATACAATGTATGCACATGTACACAATCTCTCTTAAAAGCCCTAACCATACACAAATAAAAATTTAAAGCCTGAGGTGGGTCACCTGTGGCTCATGCCTGAAATTCTAGCTCTTCAGAAGGCAGAGATCAGGAGGCTCTTGGTGCTGAAGCCAGCCAAGGCAAATAGTTTTCGAGTCTTTCTCAAAAAAAACCTATCAGAAGAAAAAGGGCTGGCAAAGTAGCTCAAGTGGTAGAGCACCTGTCTAGCAAGCCTGAGACCGTGAGTTCAAAACTGACTATTGCCAAAAAAAGAAAAAAAATTAAAGCCCAAGTTGGAATTTTACAGAGAATGAAGTGAATGATAAAAAATTAAATTACTTAAATTTATTTAAGTATCAACTAACCCCTTCTCCTTTTTTGTTTACTTATTACTTCCTAATAGCACTCTCATAAACTACTGGAAAACCTTGATAATTCATTAAAGTGTTATACAAGGTTAGCCCTACATTACATAAATCTATAGAATTTTACTTTACCTGGGGACATTCTTTTTTTTTTTTTTTTTCCCGTATAGGGAACACTTACCAAAGGCCATCTTGAAGTGGTGCTCCATAGTATACAATATGGGTCTTTGCCATAAGTATTTTTTCTTTGAGACAGGGTCTCACTTTGTAGCCAGGACTGGCTGGGCTCAAACTTGTGATCCTCCTGTCCCAGCCTCCTGTCTATATAATTTATTTGGGGGTTGATTTTGAAATTACATGAGAATAATCAGGGCAGCAAGCATATTCCATGGACCAGATCTGGGCACATCACTTTGCGTATTTGTGTTTGCTTTCCTGCTACAATAGCAGAGTAGTTAGAACTTAGAGCACAAGGGCTGCCAAACTGAAGGCGCTGATTGTTCTAGACCTTTACACAAAAAGCTTGTGAACTCCTGACCTAGCCTGTAGGTTGTCATTTATTAATTTCAAATATGACAATTGTTTAGAATGTTTGAAATCAGAATGGGGTTTTGTGTTATCTGCTGAATTTTATGGGTTTTTTTCCCTGTAAGATTGAAATATTTCATTACAATGCGTTTAAATGAATAGTATGAAACTATTTTTTTCCTCCAGTTTTTTGTTATTGCTGTAAAACACACATACCATTCATTGTTTGCCTGTTTTAAATGTGTCATTTGGTGGCATTGAGAACACTCACACCACCATCCATGTCCATAACTCTTTTCATCTTGTAACTGAAACCTTGTTCCCATCAATATAGGGTTCTCCAATCCTGCCCCCAGCCCTTGGCAGCCACATTCCACTCAGTGTCTCCATGGTTTGGGCTACTAAGTACCTCCCCTAACTGGAAAAGCTCATCATTTTTAAAAGAACACTTGAAACTTGTTTTGTTTGTTACAGATACAACCTCATATAAGGAGAGACAGATAGTAGTGGCTGTCATACTTGTTCTCAATGGTAGAAATAGTATAATAAGCACTTAGGACATAAGCCGGGCTCACGCCTGTAATCCTAGCTACTCAGGAGGCAGAAATCAGGAGGATCACGGTTCAAAGCCAGTCAGGGCAAATAGTTCATGAGACCCTATCTCAAAAATACTCAACACAGAAAAGGGCTGGTGGAGTGCCTCAAAGTGTAGGCCCTGAGTTCAATTCTCAAATTCCCAAGTACTATAAAATGTGAGTACAGTATTGCTTCATCTGTAAATTTTTGAAAAAGGGCGTTTATGTCCTATATTCTTTTTTTAGTTTAATAATTTTTTTTTGTGATACTGGGGTTTGAACTCAGCCTTACACAACCACTTGAGCCATGCCCCTGGTCCTTTTGTTTTTCAGGTAGGGTCTTGTACTAATTTAGCTCAAGCTGACCTTGAACCACCATCCTTCGACCTCTGCTTCTGGAGTAGCTGGCACTATAGGGAGTAGCTTGTTTTTGAGACAAGGGCTCCATAGCTTTTGCTCTTGCTAGCCCTGAACCATGATCCTCGTGTCTCTGCCTCCTGGGTAGCTGGGATTATAGGTGTGAACTACCATACTTGTCTCAGTTTCTCATTTTAAAAAATCCACACATCTTTGTGACCTGGTGATCTTCCCTCACTTTGAAAGGGTAAATCCAGAAAAAATATTATTTACTTGGAATCATTCAGAGGCCTTGACCTGTCTTGTTTTTTAGAAGACTTTGACTCTGATGGTATCACTGTTTTTCTACTGCTGTGAAAACTAGCTTTTTTCAACTTCCTTCATGCTGATAGGATTTTTGTTTCCAGGGAATTTATTGAGGTATGTCAATATTTGGTATGTAGACTAATAGATGTCTTTTTTTTTTTCCAGGCATTTCTTGTAGTCGCATTCATATACCAGTATTAGGAAGGCTTGGGACCTTTGAAACTCAGATTCTGCGCAGAGCTCCTCTTAGAACCTTTTCAGAAACACCAGCATACTTTGCTTCAAAGGATGGGACAAATAAAGATGGCTCTGGAGATGGAAATAAGGTTATTTTATGTTTATTGACACCTATAGATATATATTTGTGTCTTCCTCCTCTCACCCCTTTTTTTTTGTGTTGGGTGTCCAACCCAGGCCTCAAGCATGCTGGGCAAGCACTCTACCACTGAGCTAAGCCCTTAGCACCCAGTTCTCTTCTTTAAACAGCTAAATAATAGTACTCTGTGTTTTCTGTTGTCTTACGTGTTTTCTGTAGGAAATATGAGATAGAAAAAAATGATCTGAAGAATTTTGCGTTCTATTTATTTATTTAGGTTTTTTAAGACAATGTCTTGTTATGTAGCCCAGGTTGGCCTTGAACTCATGATCCTGCTGCCTTAGGCTCCTGAGTGCTGGGTGCAGGGGTGTGCCACAAAATAAGCTGGATATGGTGGCACCCACCATCATTTCCTCCTTTCATACAACTCATGATAGTGTAAACTGCACTTTATCCTGTACTTAAACATCTTGAATTTCTGGTATTGCTTATTGTTGAGCTATCCATAGCTTGCAAGCAGATGAAAACTGATTGTATTGGGCCAGTGAATTATCACTTCTTTTTGTCATGTGAATCTAATACTTGAGTACTTGAGTTAGTATTATATGCTAGACAAAATGCTAAGCACTTTCATATCCACACTTAATCCTAACAGCTCTGAAGTAGGTGAAATTATTCCCATGTTAGAAAGGAAAAAAACTAAATATAAGAATATTGAGAGTCACTACCTGCTATTAAAACAACTCCTGATTCAGTTTCATTGAAAAGCAGGTTTTACCTGTAGTAACATTTTTCCCTTGTGCTTATTGAGTCATTGAAAAAAAGCAATTTATCATATCATATGCTGACATACGCCATATAAAAAAGACTTCAGATATATAAAAAAAGCATGTGTTTGCTAGAAGTGATTTGATTTTTGTGGTAAGTAGATCTTTGACAGTGTGATAATAGAGCTATATGCTATACTAATATTCCATTCTGGAGATTGTAAAAATTATAAGAGTTATAATTGTAAAAATTATAAACTAGAATTTTTCCATTTAAGCTACATATAAAATGGTTCTTCAAAACTAGTTATTGGCACTCTCTCCTTTTCTCTTTTACATACATTAGAAATCCGTGAGTGAGGGAAACAGTAAGAAGTCAGGCTCTGGGAACTCTGGGAAAGGTGGAAACCAACTGCGCTGTCCTAAATGTGGCGACTTGTGCACACACGTAGAGACCTTTGTGTGTAAGTACTATAGGGTTCTCTTTTCCCTACCTTCTTAAGTCATTAAATACATAGGAATATATAAACTATATAAACCAGAGTTACTTTTGTCCTGATTTTAGGTGATGCTCTAAATGTTCACCAGATATTAAAAATCCCTAGGATGGTAGTACTTTGTGTGTGTGTTACAAGTGATAGTTTAAAAAAGAATTTGCTCATTTATTTTGCTTTTGTGTTTATTTCAAATTTGGATTTTGCAAGTTTTCATGTGTGTAATAATTGGGTTACAGGAGAACCAAGATGTACTTGTTGTACATTTTTTCAGTACCTGTTGAGCATCTCATATGACTTGAAGATAAGTCATTCAAATATTAAGGTCCTTTTCTTGACGAACTGTGCCCTCAATTATAGGAAGTGTCTGAAGATTATGAATGATTCAGACACTAAGAGAAGAAGGAACCAACTGTTGTACTTTCGCTGATAGTGTTATGAACTCAAATGCAAAGATGCATTTCTTTAATGCATCAAATCAAATAGTGCATTGCCTGATTTAGAGTTAATGGTAAGGGTAAATTACACTGCCATGTCAACCTTCCTATATAGTCGTTGTGAAAAGGCTGTTGGTTGGGCTTGATAGGCTTTTTAGTTTCTTTTCTTTCTTTATTTTAAAGATAAGAATCTAAGTAGCCCAGGTTGGCCCCAAACTCATGCTCCTCCTGCCCTAGGCTGCTGGGTACTGGGATTATAGGAGCCATGCTGGTCTAAGATTTTGAGGGAAAAAAGAGCTGAGTGTCTGTACTCTAATCCTGATATTGAGACCTTATTTACAATTTCTTGCTCACTGTTAGTATTAATTGGCTGCCATATGAAGGAGTACCATGTACAGTGTGTTTTAGTTTGGGAAAGACTTTTTTTTTAAAAAGTGGCTCTGTTTCCATGGGTGGAGTATTTGAGATCTTCATGGTTTTGCTTGGTAAGAGAATCTGTCTAAATGAAATTTAATTTTATCACAATACTAAGTGAAAGTAAAGTGATAGAAATGAATGATAAAACTTTCTAAACAAATTTGAGAATTCTTTGGGAATTGCTCAGTTTATAAGAACAGTGTCATATATTTTCATCAGGAAATTTTCCTTTTTTTTTTTTTTTTGAGGCAGAGTTAAACCTTTACACATCTAAAGAATAATTTCTTAGAATAGAAAAACTAAATTTAATACATGCTAACATGTATAATTTTATACTTGCAACCTTATTTTTGTCAGGCAAAAGAGTATCACTTTCATAATTGAAGAAGCCAAAATTTAGCAAGTTTAAGTAATTCATTCAAGGTCAAATAGCAGTGAAGATTTATTTTTCAGAAGTTCTAAACCCACTAAACACTTTTGTACATGTTACAATGTACCTCTGGTACAACCATAGTATGCTAATAAATTTTTTTTAAAAAAGTTCTGAAGCCATTTTACCAACTTGAGATTCTTTAGAGTAAACTAACTTTTTCTTGGGATTAAATTATTTTTTTTCTATGCAGTGTTTCCAAAACTTTCCAACTTGCATCGTGGGTGACTGTTAAAGCTAGAGATTTCAAGGTTTCTTCCCTAGAGATTAAGGTTTTGTCGATGTGGGGAAGAGTCCTAGAATCTATGTTTAACAGCTCATCCAATCTGTAACCAGCTCAAGGCTGGGAGGCTAGTTTCACATCTTTTGAGTCAGACACTGCCAGGCTCAGAAAATACACAGATGAACATGATATTGTCCTTCTCCTCTGAAACTTTACTTATAGACCCCAACAGCACAAAACCTCTCCTAGTTTTGCCTACCCACAGTAAATGTCTCTTCAGAATGCACCCTTTGAATGCTGAGGACCTTCTGTGAATACACATTAAGAATTGGCTGTCCTTGTCCTAAAGAGTTTTGTTTGATCTAGTTAATAGTTTATAAACATCTTTTGACACAGTTTTGAGTCTCTTGTAATTCCTTGTGAATGGCCTGTTTAGGTGATTAACTTTTTTTTTTCATTTGTCTTTCTTTTTGGGGGGTTGGAGGGAAGTACTGGGGTTTGAACTCATGGCCTCATGCTTCCTAGGCAGGAGATCTATCACCTGAGCCATACCCCCAGCCCTTTTTTGCTTTAGTTATTTTTCAGCTAGGGCCTTTTTTTATTTTTGCCCAAGCTAGCCTTCTGTGTAGCTGTGATTGTATTGTGAGCCACCATGCCTGGCTTGTTTATTGAGATGGGGTTTCTAACTTTTTGCCAAGTCTGACCTTGAACCATGATCCTCCTGATCTCTGCTCCCTCAGTAGATGGGATTACAGGCACCTACCACCCTATCCAGCTTGTTTTTTCAGATGTGGGTTTTGATAGCTTTTTAGATAAAGTAAAAGTTCCTGAAATATATCTTTATCAAACATATGACTTTAAAAAGTATGAATGGTATATTCATGTTTTTGCTTTTCTGCACTAAGCTATGTTTGGAAACTGTTAATACACAGACTTTGTTGTTTCCTTTTTACAATTTGTTTTTAAATTCATTCAAATATTCATATATGATACAATTCACCCTTTTAAAATGATTCAGTGGTTTTGGTATATTCTTAAGTGGTACAGTTCTCTTACTCTCTAACCCCAGAACAATTTCATCACCCCAAAAAGAAACTCCATAACCCTTAAGTCACTTTCCACTTCCCTCTTCTCCTACCCTGACAACCGTTAATGTAGTTTCTGTTTGTATGGATTTATCTATTCTGAGTATTTCCTGTAATGGAATTTTATAACACTAGGCATTTTGTGTCTGGTTTCTATGTGTTAGCATGTTTTCAAGGTTCTTCCCTTTTGCATTTATTCATATTTCATTGTTTTTTTTATGACTGATGTCCATTGTTTAGTTATTCATAGGTTTATGGACATTTGGATTGTTTCTACTTGTTGGCTACTATGAATAATGCTACTGTGAACATTTGTGTATAAGTTTTTGCATGAACATATATTTTACTTGGGTAGCTAGGAGTGGAATTGCTGAGTCAAATGGTAACTGTTTAGTTCTATAGAATTGCCAGTTTTTGCCTGGGCTGGCCTTGAATCTCCATCCTCCTGTTTCCCTTAGCCTCCCAAATAGCTAGGATTACATGCTTGAGCAATTGTGCCTAGCCTAAAAATATAATTTTAAACGTATCATTATGAATTATAGAGAGTCATCAGAAATCAAGGAAATAAGAGTGACATCTAAGCAATTTTTAGAGGTTTGTGTTGTGGCTCAAAATGGTAACAGTGCCTGCCTAGCAAGTGTGGGGTCCTGAGTTTAAACCCCAGTGCTGCCAAAAAAAATTTTTTTTAATAAAGGACTAATATACAGTGTACAATTCTTTTTATTTTGATTCTTTAAAAAATAACTTGTCAAACTTGAATAGACTCTTTAGTTTTGATTTTTATGTATGTAATGCTTTTGAAGCTTTTCTGTATATTGTCTCTTGACACTAGGATTAAATAGTTTTACAGTGGTTTGAAGTTTTTATTTTGGATCCTGAAATGTGTTCAGAATCATAAAGGACTTTCATTTAAACAAATCCCCCAGAGCTGAGAGCACTTACTTAGCATGTAAGAGGTTATCAGTTTGATCCCTAGTACCACAGAAAAACCTAGAAAAACAAAACAAAGCAAAATCTCCTGAAGAGGTTTTCATTAAGGTAGTATTTCTTTTCTTTGGCATATTATACAAGTGTGTTTAGTGGGAACAATATTTTATATAAAGGAATAGAGTATGATACTTAATAATTTAAGGAAGAAGATATTTATTCACAGGTAATTTAACAGAATTAGATTTTTTTTCTGTCTCCCCTGTCTCCTTAGTGTTTTCAGGAAGGATATCCAGGCTGCCGTCATACTTACCCTGTATCCCAGGCTGGCCTTGAACTCATCTGTTCTCCTACATCAGCTCCCTAGTGGCATGTGCTATCACACCTGGCTGACCCTTGTTTATAGGAGTCAAAATTTATGCTTTTCCCCCAAATAGCATTTTGATAAGTAAATATGAATCCTTGAACTTGGGAATATGTACTTTATTATAAACTTATATTACAAATACAGTATTCAGGTCAAATTTAAGCAACCCTTCAACAGTAAGCAAAGAGATGAGATATGTTGGTGTTTAATCTCTTTCCCTTTGACTTAATTTCCTTAGAGAAATATTTTGATCCTGTTATTCTTAGGCCAGATTTTCCTGTCACACAACCTGAACTAGATCAGAGGCTTCTTTGCCCTTTAATCCTTGTCTTGTTTACCATGACTAACAGTTGTAAACTGGTGCCTCGATTTAAATTAAGGGCATTCACTACTTTCTCACTCATGGGAAAAGGTCATTATGTATTGTACTTGTGTTACTTGCAGGTACTTGGAATGGCTTGATCTTTTTCTTTAGGCAAGCATTTATACCTAATCAGTAAATAGAAAACATATATGAGCCTCTTGAAGTGTAAAGTTTTCTGCTAGAATTTATCCAAAATGTTTTCTTTTTGTACTGTTGAGAATCAAACTGAGGGCTAGTGCTCTGTTACAGGGCCACATCCCCAGTCCCAGAATGTATTCTTAATTGGCCTTGTGTTTGAGAGTGGAAAAACAATTAACTTGATTGAATTAATAATGGAATATATTTTTTAAATGTGGAAATATCTGTTTTTCATTTAGATTATTTTGTGGAGATTTAAGTGTACTTGCCATTTTTTCTGGTAATCTACCAATGGGTACTTATATTTGTAATTTTTCCCAAAGGAGAGAAATCCCATAATTTTTTAAAAAATTATTTTTCTCCGCATTTCTGCCTGTCTAGTTGGATTGCATACTATAAATCCCACAAAAATATATCACCAGCATGGTATTTGTTTCCTGTGTTCATATGGCATGCTCTGCCAAGTTGGTTTCAAGATCTTTGGTTACCATGAGCAGGCTTAGGCTTGGAAAAGGTTAAGAGTATATGTGTCCATGTGTTTTCATCCTATAGAGAAGAGAAAAATAGAAAAAAACAAAGCCACTGTTTAACATAGAATATCTGTAGTGTATTCTTTAGAATTAGGAAGTCTTTTTTTTCATACTTTTTCTTGTGTTGCTTTTAAAAGCTGTATTGGTTATCTTTAAATTAAATCAGTATGACTGAGAAAGTTATTTTATTCATTTCTTAATGGTTTTTTGATTAGAGAAATGAATTAAGATAAAATAAGGATAATACAAAATAATTTTATGTAATTACTAAGTCAAAGTTATTTTTGTTTGTTTGTTTGGTACTGAGGCTTGAATTCAGAGCTTCGGGCTTGCTAGGCAGGTGCACTAACACTTCAGCCACTCCACCAACTCTTTTTTGTATTGGGTATTTTTGAGATAGGGTTTCAAAAACTATTTGCCCATGATGGCTTTGAACCTCTGTTATCTTGATCTCTGCCTCTGCCTCTAAGTAGCTAGGATTACAGGTATCAGCCAGTGGTACCTGACAGTAAAGTTTTTTTGTTTGTTTTGGTTTTTTTTGGTACTGTTTTGAACTCAGAGCCTCAGGCTTGCTAGGAAGGTGCTCAAACACTTAAGCCACGCTCCTAGCCCCAGTAAAGGTTTTTTTTAATAGTGAAAATGTTAGTAAAGTTTATTAGGAAAGGAATTTAGTGTAACAAGATAAAAATGAGGAAAAATGTGGGGAGGGGGAAGGAGAAACATTTCCTGCTTCCCATGCAGGGGAGTAGAGACTCCATCAAGAAAAGTTTTTAAAATGCTCATGTGTGTGACAGAATCGAAAGAATGTACCTTTTTACATTTTCAGGGCTTCAAATAGGTTGATCTCTTTCAATTTTAACGACTATTTGAGATTTTTCATAATAAAATATTGGAAAAATGCATTAATCTGCTTGTAGTTTACTTTTTTCACAATTTATTCAAGTAAATGACTACTCAGTATTCTCAAAGGAGTTTTATAATGATCTCTACTGAGTGGGAAGTTGAAAGAATCTGAACCAATGTTTTGTCTTGATGCAGTACTTCACAAAATGAAAGGAACCTAGTGGAAATGAACAAAAAGATAATTTATTAAATGCATCTGTCTTTGTAGTATGCTTATTGTATGAATTAGGCTGGTTTTGCTCTCCACTGGAGTGAATTGTCAATGTGTAACTTTTCATTTACACTGAGTCTTTTTATTTGTTTGTTTGTTTTTTACACAAATGGGGATTGAACCCAGAGCCTTGAGTATGGTGGGTGGGTACTTCTACCACTTAGCTACATCCCCAACCCCACAGTGAATTTTTAAGGAAGACACTATTGAAATTATTCTATTTTCCTGTGCTGATCTCTTTTTTCTTTTTCAGCATCTACCCGTTTTGTCAAGTGTGAAAAATGTCACCACTTTTTTGTTGTGCTATCCGAAGCAGACTCAAAGAAAAGCATAATTAAAGAACCTGAATCAGCAGCAGAAGCTGTAAAATTGGCATTCCAACAGAAACCACCTCCTCCCCCCAAGAAGGTACAGGACTTAGGTTTATAGGTCTTAAACATTTTATCTTGAAAATATTCCATTGCTTCTCTCTTCTGGTTTATATTGAATCCCAACAGTAGAATCTAAATAAGTGTTAGAATTTCTTAATATAGACTATATCTGGCTAAATTGTTATTGATATTTGATACTTGGAATTTGGGTATAGAGTCCATTCTGTTTCCCTTTGTCATGATTACTATATTTAGTATCAATGAAATATAACTGGATGATCATTAAAATGATGTTAATGCCAGGCAAATTTGAGATAAGAAATAGTATCCTTACAGTATTACAGCTATTTAGTTTTGGCCCCTAATACCAGTTTGCAATTACCCTCTTTAAATTAGTCTATTTTATGGCTTAATAGCTTTCAATCTAACAATGTCAACAAGTAAGTTTTTCACAGTCAGTGTACCAGAGCTTCCCTGTATATCACCGTGGCTTTGGTGCTTTGGGCCCTTTCCAGAGTCTCAAGCAAGTGTGATTGGGATCTGTGAAGTAGGCAAAATGTATACTAGCTCTTTTGAGTGCATGGCATGTGCTTTTAGAGAACCAGGAGCCCTTACCTCCTAGCCTTGTGTTCTTTGTTCTGGCTGTGTCTCAGAAGTCTGCATACCTACGTTATTTCCCATTGTCTGCCTCAGTGTATCTTTCTTATTATACTGTGTTTAGATACCAGTGTGTTTGTCTCTGTCTCCAAATATGCTGTGGCAGATTTAGTAATTTGTGAGGAATGCATTAGATTTATAACTAAACAAGTTTCTCATACAAAAATAGTGTATTTGAAAATAAAATTATTAAGCTTTATAGTTCTACTTATTTGTGTAGACTTCAGACATCTGACTTCAGTGTTCTAGAAAATGCATAAGCAATTTAACTATTTTCAGGAATTGGTCAATATTAATAGTTTATTTTTATTCATTAAAAACTGAAGGTATTTGCCCTCAGTTCCAAATTGTTAGCATTATCCAAGTGTTAAAATAGAGCTTTAGTTTCTATTAAAAATAAAGCTTTTTGATTGCCATTTAAATAAATGAGTAGCTTTAAGATTAACATAAGAGGAAAGGCTAAATTAAATGTTTGTATTAAAACAAATACTAGTAATATAATAGATTACATAATGCCTGTTTCTGAAAAGGGTTGTTTTATAATATAGTATCTTTGTGAAGAACATTATATGATTGAGCAAGGCACAGAAAGGATTTTTTAATGATTACATTAATGATGATTCCTTTAGACCCACGGTGGCATGGATAGATATTCCAAGCAACTTTAAAAAAATTAGGATCAATGTCATTATTTGCGTAGTAGAAACTAGTATAACACCAGTAGAGAACAGTGGTGCTTTGTTAAGCTAGCAAACAAATGAATTGTGATTTTGTTCACTTAGGATTTAGGACCTTTGGGTCTTTGCTACATAATGTATCACACCCATGGCATTTCATTTCTAATGGAAGTCTTTGTTCAAATTTAAAACTGAGCAAATATGCTCACTATATAACTTTGTAATGTATGTGCTTGTAGTAAATTATTCAAAATCATTTTTCAGATTTATAACTACCTCGACAAGTATGTTGTGGGCCAGTCATTTGCTAAGAAAGTGCTTTCAGTTGCTGTGTATAATCATTATAAGAGAATATATAACAATATCCCAGCTAATCTGAGACAGCAACCAGAGGTTGAGAAGCAGACATCATTAACACCTAGAGGTTAGTGTTTTTGATAATTGACCCAAATAGATTACTGTGCTTAGAAGCAATCTATATTTGTAACTCCTTGCTTTCATCTTAAAATGCTTTTTAGTAAAGGACAACATTTTTCAAAGTATAAGTCATTTCCTTTGATGGATCGTGAAATAATTTGGCAGGTTGCCAATAGCATTAAAATTTTAAGTAAGTGTGAATAAAAATACTAAAGCATATTAATTTATAGGTAAAGTAAGCATTGTTTCTTAAAACTTTGAGTCACAAAGAAAAATGTAGTTCTTATTGAGTGTCTCAGCAAAAAAATGCTTGAAAGGGGCTGGGAATATAGCTTACTGGTAAAGCACCTCTTACATGAACAAGGCTCTGGCTTCAATCCCCAGCACCACAAAAAATAAAAACTTTGAAGGTCACTGGGGTAGAGGCTGAGACTGAATTATTGACAACTAGTTCACCATAAGTGGATTGTTGCAATGTTCTGTACAACTCTGAGTTCTTCTCTTTTGGGTTCAGGATACAGAATTTCATTTGCCTAAGTCAGAGATATGTGGAGATGATAACTGTTAATACAACATATCCAGCACTCTTTCTTCTTTGGGCCCAGCTACAGAGTGCCAGGTTAAGGGCAAATTTGTAAGTGATTCTAAGTGCAATTCCTAATAATCTTAGATTCTAATGTACCAGTATACTGTGTGATCTCAAGGTACTGTGGACAATAAAATGTAGATTATTATTAAAACAACGATGAATAGAGTAAAATGTAAATATTGAAGTTTTTATTTTGTTGTCCAGAGAACTCTGATTTTGATTTAGGTCTATAATCCATCATTTTAGGTTCTTTTTAGATGCTATTATACAATTTGAGGAAGTTTAGCTCAATAAATTTATAAATCTGTAATGTCTTTTGATTATCTTTAGTAGCTACTGAATATGGAACTGATTTCGATAAAGACACTGTTCACTTGTTGAACTTACTATAAAATAGTCATGTGGTGGTATCAGTTATTTTATTTTTAGAAATCATAAGTCATAACTAATGGAAGACTTGGAACTTTCACTTTTATAAGGTCCAAATAGCACTCTCTAGTCATGGACCAAAATTTTTTATTGTTCCTTCAGTCATTAAGTCAGTATTTAAGTTTTGGGTGCTAGAAGTGTAAGTAGTTTTATGATATTTATAGTGTGAAGGATTTTAACTCTTATTGGAGACAAACTAGTATATTCTTTGAAATAGATACTCATTTTTTATTTAACCTATGTGAATTTTAGCAACTGGACAGCCCTCATTAAGCTTGGTTTTGTTTTGCTTAACATAGAGAAGATGTAGCATGTAAATTCTTTCATAATGTGAAAAGCTGTAAACAATGAACACATTCTTTAAATATATTGGAAGAGGATACTCATTGTTCCCCAAACTAAACAAACATGTAATATTTTTATGTTGCCATTTTCATCTTCTTTCTTAGAGTTAGAAATAAGAAGACGGGAGGATGAGTACAGATTTACAAGTAAGTGACCTTTTCTCAGGTCTTCCTCTGTAGTCTTTGTTCCTTTTGAGATTCGCCTCAGTGAAGTATCTCGACAGTAGTAGTGATAGACGTGTTTGCTTATAGATCACCAAGAAAGATGTATGTTATCTAAATGTGTTTATCATACATGGTGTATATCACTTTGAGACCTTGTTCATGGCTAATTTGGCAGTTAGATTATTTTAGGTATTTAGTTTTTATCTTTTCTGTTGTAATAATTTTAAAGCATAATTTAGGGAAATATAAAGTACATAGTTTTTCTCTATAAATATATACGTATAACGGGTTGTGGTGGTTTTAAATCTGTAGTTTGCTATTTTATATTTATAATGTATATTTGTGTGTGCATATATATGTATATATATTTATTTTGTTGTACACATACACTGTTTTTGAACTCAGGGCCTACACCTTGAGCTCCAACACTAGCCCTTTTGTGTGTGTGTGTGTGTGTGTGTGTGTGATCTTGTGCACTGTTTGTCTGGAGCTGGCTTCACAATCCTTCTGATCTCTTCCTCCTGAGTAGCTAGGATTACAAATGTGAGACACTGGTGCCTGGCACTTTTTTTGGCCAAACTTCACCATTGATCTACTATAAGTGACTGGAACTTTAACTTTTATGGAGGCATATTATCTTCTAACTATTCTTTGCCAGAAACCCCATTGTTTCTTTTTTGGTATTTATGGAATTTACTATAGTCTTACAAATTATGACTAAGCTCCAGTTCACTGTTTCCAGTTCTGGATTGCCCCTAAGTGCTCTAGGTGGTCTGAAGGAGGGTGTGGAAAGACACAGTGCACCACGAAGAGTAGCCACTCTGATGTTTTGTACTCATTCCTCTAGAGGTAGAGTTACTATACACACAGCTGGTGAAAGCCCCAAAGGTGTCATAATAAGATTCACATGGGTTTTTGTTTTATTAATTGAAATGACAAAGGAAAATTGGTTGTTTGATAGTTTTAACATTTGCCTTTGAATCGAGCAGTAATTCTGTTTGAAGTGTACTACATATATAATGTGAGCCATAATAACATAACTGGTTTACTACCTCTGGCATGACATTTATCACATATAGGATAATTATATTGTCTCTCATGTGTATATGAGCACATACTTGTGTGTGTTGAGACAGGGTCTTGCTGTGTAGCCCAGACTGGGCTTGTACTCAAGATCCTTCTGTCTCAAAAAGAAAAGAAAAAAGATCTCTTGTCTCAGCCTCCTGAGTGCTGGGGTTACAGATTTATATCACCGTGCTCAGACTCCTAGTTATTTATAAATTTATGGAAATACTGATATACCATGCATGGTAAAATTAAGAAATATAGTCAATGCAGTAAAATTAGATTTTATATATAAGAATAAGATTTAAACTGGGTATGCTGGTGCATGCCTATAATCCCAACACTCAGAAGGCAGAGGCAGGTGGATCATGACTTCAGGGTTAGTCTAGGCTACATATTGAGACCCTGTCTTTAAAAAAAAAAAAGGGGGTGGGGGCAGGGGGAGAAATGAACCAAGCCTTTTATGCACATATGAATAATAAAAGAAAAATGAAAAAAAAAAACCCAAAGATCTAAATAATAAACTTAAGGTGCATCTAATTTATATTTCATAATCCAAAATACCAGTATGTGATCAGTACTGTGCTCACAAATTGGGGCTTATAGCTAGTGAAACTAGTATAATTTAGTAAAAAAAAGAAAGTCTATTATAAATATTTTGCAAAACATAATAAATAGTGATTTAATGTAATTTAATTTTTAACAAATAGCAGTAAGAATTTAGGCAAATGCAATTTGTAATTTTATTGATTGGAAACATATTTCAAAAGCTTAAATTCAGTTTATCCTTATGTATAGTTTAGTTGTATCCTATAAAGGATTTTAGTTAGGGTATTAGACTAAAACTACTGTATAATCAAAATTTGTAAGTCCCCTTGGAAACATACAACTCTTAGAGTGATAACTTTTTTTTTCCATCTTTGGAATATAGTTTTCTTTTTTAAGTTGAGTACCAGATGAAATCCTTAGCTTGCATTTAATGACTATACTGTGTAAGTAATTAAACACTTGGAAAATAGCAGTAATAAGAGCAAATTCTTCTGTATCACTTAATAAAAACTTTCTGTCAGGCACTGTGCTAAGTGTTTTGTGTCTGTTCATTTAATCTTTCCCAAACTTGTGAGTCAGAAACTTTTATTTTCACCCCCATTTTACAGATGAGAAAACTGAAAGACAAAAACATTAATTTGTCCATAGCCATAGACAGCTTGTGAGTTCTGTTCAGAAAACCATTACATTAACCTCTGTACTCACAGTTCTCATTATAGAGAGCTTTTTACATAGAGATGTGCAGGAATGGAGACTGACAGAATAGGAGAGTCATCTGAAGGATAGTCTGGGGCACATACTCAGAAAGTGTATGATAGACATCATCTTTACTGATTAAATTCTTCCTTTTTAAACTTTATGGGGTAAATAAAATATGTGTGTCATATAGTTCCACTGTAGTTAATTTATCTCTTGTAATTTTGTTCAAATTATTCATCTAAATCATTTTTCTCCAGTGGACACAGCTAAACTAAATTCAAGTCCCTTTCTGTGTTATCACAATTCCTAATTAGATTTTGCTGAAATTAAAAACCAGAGCTCTTTAGTGACAACTTAATTGAACTCATGTAGGAGATTGGGTTTTCTTGTGGATGTGCATTGAAATAAGGTGTCATCACATTGTAAATTATTCACTAATCATTACCTCTCAAATACAGTATATCTTAAGTTCAAGTATTTGTTGAACATCTAGTAATTCTGATGACTAGAATAACCCTTTACTGTAAGTATAAAGATAGTTTGAATCTCCCTGTACAACTATTAATATTGCTAATAAATTTTTTTTAAATAACCTAAAAAAAGTTTCAAAGTCACAGATGAGATAGGACCATCTTAATAGGTATGTCTCTATTGGTTTGATTAAAATAACCATTAGAAAGCACTGTGATTTTTTTTTTTTTTTCCAGTTCTGGGGTTGAACTCAGGGCCTCACACTTTATAGGAAAGTGCTCCACCATTTAACCGAGGTCCCCAGCCCTTTTTTGCTTTGGTTATTTATTCTTTTGGTGATACAGGGGTTTGAACTAAGGGCTTTGTGCTCACAAGGGAGGTACTCTACCACTTGACCATGTCCCCACCAGCTTTGGTTACTTTTGAAATAAGGTCTTGCTTTATGCCCAAGTTGGTCTGGACTACGTTTCCATTTGTGCTTCCCCTTGTAGCTGGAATGACAGGTGTGAACCACCATGCCCAGCCATTTGTTGAGGTGGGAGCCTCATGAACTTTTTGCCTAAATTGGTCTTGAACTGTAATCCCTCTACTTCTCAAGTAGCTTGAGTTTAAGGTTTGCCATCGCACCCCCAGTGCATTATGATATTCTTAACACATTTCTTAGAAACATCCTAAAAATAAATCTAGAAATACAAACAAATATTACATGGTCACGGATTTCTCAAACCAGGAACAATCTGGATATTTACAAATCTGGATAACTTTTAAAGTATTTGGATTCTTTCCCTAAGCCAAAAAAGCCAGGATATTCATTTTTATAGGAACCCACCTGATAAACTGATACTTCACCAACAATATCAATCCCATTTAGTTAAGCATGTGTCCTTATTGAATGTACTAGAAAGATCAATTGAGATCCAATAAAATCTGAGATTCAGATGAGATCAGGAATAATGAGATTGACCATACTTGGTTTTCATGGTATACTTACAGAATCATTTTTAGATATGGAAGAGACTAAAAAAGTCATGTATCTCAGTATTTTTATATTATAGGTGCAGAAGCAGTTTCAGAAAAGTTTTAAGTGACTTGCCATGGTCCCATAACCAAGAAGCAACAGAACTGGGACTAGAACCCAAGTTCTCTAATTTTCAGTTCATTGTTTTTCCTTTTCTCTATAGTCCTGTTTGTTTTCATTTATACTGAAAAATATGAAGTAATATCTCTTTAGACAAAAAGATAAACATTTTTCAAAGTGTCCCCACAGCAATTGCAATTTATTCCTTTTTTATTTTTTTGGTGGGACTGGGGTTTGAACTCAGGACTTCACACTTGGAAAGTAGGCACTCTACTGCTTGAGTTGCAGTTTATGCTTATGCCATTCAACCATGAATTTGAAATTGATAGGACAGGTATTGTTGCTATTTTATAGATTAGGAAACAGAATCAAAAAGTAGCTGTTTAGAGACAGAGAGGAAGAAAGTTAAAGCTTTCTGACACTTACCGCTGTTCTTCCATATTTTGCCTTTCTTTGAAGTAGCATTTGTACATATTCACATAAATAAGAAGGCTGAAAAGACTCCATTTCCTTTCCCTGAGGTTCTTTGTATTACAGTCGTGTGTGTTTTATATTCTTCACTTAGAGAGATTTTCTTTGTAGGTAAGGCAATGATGAAATATTTAAATTTTTCCAAATAGGTGCTTGTTTTTAGATGTAAGGTTTTATGGGGCATTTTTTGTAGTAAATTCAAGCACAACTAGAGTAATTCCTTTGGCATTTTTTTCAGAATTGCTTCAGATTGCTGGAATTAGCCCACATGGTAATGCTTTAGGAGCATCAATGCAGCAACAGGTGAATCAACAAATACCTCAGGAAAAACGAGGAGGTGAAGTATTGGATTCTTCACACGATGACATAAAACTTGAAAAAAGTAATATTTTGCTGCTTGGACCAACTGGGTCAGGTAAATAACTTCCTGGGAAGTTTTAGTACTCATTTTAGAAATAGAAATGAGTGATTCTTGTACTTGGAGGATTGTAGCTCTTAAGAAAAAGTCTAGTACAGGTCTTCGGATACCTTATCAGTGTTGCCCTTCAGGTCAATCCCTAAACTGCCTTTTTTTTTTTAATTTAATGTATATTAATTGTACCAATCCCTAAGCTCTTAACAGGAATAGTAAAATAAGATACAGCTAGATCTGAATAATAATACAGCTGATATGAATAATGGTGGAAAAAACAATAGTAGAAAAAACATGTAACAGTTAACAGCTTTTTATTACATAGTATTCTATTTTGTGTAAGAATTGTGTGCCAACATATTTTTAGTAAACTTTTAGTTGCTGTTTGTATTTGTAGGTAAAACCCTGCTGGCACAAACTTTAGCTAAATGCCTTGATGTCCCTTTTGCTATCTGTGACTGTACAACTTTGACTCAGGCTGGATATGTAGGTGAAGACATTGAATCCGTGATTGCCAAACTGCTCCAAGATGCCAATTATAATGTAGAAAAAGCACAACAAGGTATGTTGCAAGTGTAGCTTGTCTGACCCCAAATTTAGTCTATTGGGAAAGTGGTATAATACTAAATAATATAATTCTTATTTTGAGTCAAGGGGTAATATGCTGTAATTATATAAAAGCACCTATGTTAAACACTGTCTAGCATACTGATTAATGGCCACAAATTTACTTTATGTTATGGTCACTAAGGTTTGCTGCTAGGATGAAAACACAAGTTACTTTTCTATTAGGTCTTTAATATTATAGTTGCTTTTCTTCTTCTAACTCCCCTCTAGATTCCTAATGCTAGAGTGGGGAAGGGATGGGGACAAGAGAGAGAGAGAGACAGGAGATCACTGAATGGACAAATCTGAAAATAGCTTATTTTGTTGACCTGCATTTCTCCTTTCTCTGTCATCTGTGCTTATTTACGTGAAGAGCTTGACAGCTTCCTGTCTGAATTCCTTTAAGACAGGAATATAAGTGGGAAAGAGTAAGCTTAACTTAAGTTTTGCCAATGCCAGCACTACATATACCTCATATTTCCATACTATATCTGTTTCCCATAATAAAAAATTTGAATACATTAGTGAGATAGATAGCTATTGTCAAAGAGCTTTGGCTATCATATTTAAATTATATGCTGTAAAACAGATTACAAAATAGATGTACAAAGTGATGAATGGGAGTATTTTTAAAACATCAAGCTATTGTGTATGTTAAGTATGAAAATTGAATAACCTTGCTCTGTAGCAATCCAATATTTTAAAGTTGAGACTGTGTCAATCTTTTTCATATTATAAATAGAATTCTCCTTAAATTATAGGAATTGTCTTTCTGGATGAAGTAGATAAGATTGGCAGTGTGCCAGGCATTCATCAGTTACGAGATGTAGGTGGAGAAGGCGTTCAGCAAGTAAGCAGTTGAATATTTTGTTCAAGTCCACTAAAAGGAAGGGATTACATCAACCTCCCAAATATTGTACGTTTGGTTTCACATTCAATTAGATTCTGTTTTGTTTATTTCTTCCACCCCAAACCTCACATACCATTTTTAAAGTAGTTCAGATCCTAAAAGACTATTAATGATTTTAAGTAACAATTACTTTTCTTAGGAAATTAAAAATATTTGAAAGAACAGAAAATAAAATTTAATCTTTTTTTTTTTTTTTTTTTTGGTGGTACTAAGGTTTGAACTCAGGGCCTTACACTTGCTAGGCAGGCACTCTACCACTTGAGCCCGTCCACCAGCCACTTAATCTTAATTTTTATTCCTCAAAGCCCTAGTAAGCATTTCTAGAAGACTCTTGAAAATTCTAGTTCTAACTACATGTGAATGAATTATACATGTTTCCTATTCCTCTCACTTAATTAGAAGATAGATATAAAATAGTGTTTACTCCTTGTGGAGTTACCATCAGTTACAATGGTGTATTGGCCAATTTAACATTTAATGATAACTAATAATGACAAACTAAAGGATGAAGGAGATTGTTTCAATTTTTTTACATACATAAATAGGTATGATTATACTTAAAAATGTGCTGGGTAATTTTTTTTATGAAGACATGTCAAAATATAGGTAGTCTCAAAATGTAACACTAAGAGAATAGTATTTTAATTTATATGGATGACAGATCCACTATTTTTAAATTTTAAATGTTCCCACCATGTTTGGGTATCATTTTATAGAGTCATAAGTTCTGTCTTTATGTCAGAGTTAAGACTTTACCCATCCAGAACAATTTCTTAGATTTACCATTTCCTGAGTTAGAATGCATCAAGAGTCCTATAATCATCTCATACAAGTTTATGAATTCTTAGTGAGATAAATGCACTTGGTTTTCATGTTGTAGAGACGTGGGAATTCTCAGTAATTATACTCATTGACCATGACCACATATTATTTTCTCCCATCGAATCCCCTTATCTGAACCATGGTAAATAATGTTCCTATATATGTTGTTGCTGTAAATCACTCATTCTTTATTTAGGGCTTATTAAAACTACTAGAAGGCACTATAGTCAACGTTCCAGAAAAGAATTCCCGAAAGCTACGCGGAGAAACAGTGCAAGTTGATACAACAAATATCTTGTTTGTTGCATCTGGTGCTTTCAATGGCTTAGACAGAATCATCAGCAGGAGGAAGAATGAAAAGGTAAGTTTTTCTGAGAGCATTTTTCAGAGCATGTAAAGTTACAGAGGATGGTCACTCAGTTTCTGTTCCCATATCTTTGGTTACCAGTCATTGGATTTTCTTAGAGCATATCAGAAATACATTCCTAGTTGTGTTAATTTTAGAGCAGTAATTAGAGGATTTCAAAATATCTTATGTGTGGACATCTTTAAAGTATAAATTGATGAGTTCGGTTTTATACTTTGCCTCTTATCATTTGAGGTTAGCTGCTGTACCAGCATATTCCTGCCCAGTAAACAGCCTGTCTCAGTGCCCACGTCCAAGGGTCTGTCATAAGTCACTAATGGCATTCACAAATCAAGGGAAGTTCAGGAGGATGGGTTGTGATCTTACCTAGTTTTACACATTTCTTTTTAAACATTCCTGTAAGTCCTGATTTTAACTGGGATTGGGACTTGTTTCTTCAGATCTTTAAGCTATATGCCCAGTACCTATGCGTTGATGGATTACAATAAAATATAATATCAACGTTGGTGGCAAGAAATCCAGAACACACTTGTATTTTTGGTTTTTACCTAATAGCCAAGAATGATCACTTTTATATTACACAGTGTTCGACCTAAATGAGTATATCATAGATCAGCCGCTTGCTGTGTTTAAGTCTCCTTGGCCTAGAATGCCTATTTTAATGTACTAGATTAAGTAGCAGCCTAGTAGTAGTAGCTTCCCATGGTAGTTCCTTTGCATAGCCTAGATGAGAAAACACTTTTACAAACACTAACACTAAATACAAATCCAAGGCCACATAATCAGACCTAAGCATAGATAAGGTTATATTTTTATTTTCTGCTAATTTATGCAGAATTTGAGTAGCAAGATAAATATAAATTCATTAAAATTTTTATTTTACTTGCTATTGAAATTCTGCATAAATTAATAGATGAGGAGAAATTTGGTTTTTCTTCATATATGAGTGTGTGAGAAAGATAATATTGTATTTGAAATTCTGTAACCGTGGACTGGAGGTCCAGGCTGAAGTGGCAGAGTGCCTGCTTTGCAAGCATGAAACCCTGAATTCAAATTCCAGTACCACCAAAAAAAGAAAAACCCTAAGAAATTCTGTAACCAAAAGCAGGGACCATGTTCTGATATTAATTTATAATTACTACTTCTTCCCAATAATTACTAGAAATACTTCCCAAAAGAATTTGATGCTAGAAACTTATAGGCAGAATTAAAAGTAATGTCAGAATTGCAAACATGTAGAAGGAAGATTTAGAGACTGAGGTCATGGCTCAAGTGAGTGCTCACCTAGCAACCTTTAGGCCCTAAGTTCAATCCACAGTACTGCTTTTAAAGACAAAAAAAAAAAAAGGAAAAAAAGAATTTTAGGTCATAGTTTTGTCCTATTGAAAATTAAGTCACTCCATTTAGCTGTGAACTTTTTTGGGGGGTGGGTGGCAGTACTGGGGTTTGAGCTCAGGGTCTCACTCTTGCTGGGCAGATACACTATTACTTGAGCCACACCCTCAGCCCTTTTTGCTTTAGTTATTTTTCAGATAAAGTCTCATGATTTTTACCTAGCCAGCTTTGGACCACAGTCTTACCTACACCTCCTGCATATTGCATAGCAGAAATTACAGGTGTGGGTCACCATGTCCAGCTTGTTTGTTGAAATGGAGTCTTGCTAATTTTTTTGCCCAGGTTAGCCTTGAACCGTGATCTCTACCTCCTAATTAGGTTGAATTATAGGTGTGAGCCACTGTGCCCAACCCGTGAACTTTTTAACCAAAAATAAGGGAAATCTCAGACAGACCTGAGTTTAAATCTTGGCTTTGCCACTTACAGCAACAAGACCTATGTCAAGTTCTTAACTTCTATAACCTTGTCTTATACCTTTGTAAAATGTGAAAGCATCACATACTTATATGCAAAGTACTTAATGTAGTGCAACTCCATTCTCCTATTTACAATACATTTCATTTGTTTGGCAGTATCTTGGATTTGGAACACCATCTAATCTGGGAAAAGGCAGAAGGGCTGCAGCTGCTGCGGATCTGGCTAATCGAAGTGGGGAATCAAATACTCATCAAGACATTGAAGAAAAGGATCGGTTATTACGTCATGTGGAAGCCAGAGATCTCATTGAATTTGGCATGATTCCTGAGTTTGTGGGACGATTGCCTGTGGTAGTTCCTTTGCATAGCCTAGATGAGAAAACGCTTGTACAGATACTAACTGAGCCACGTAATGCTGTCATTCCTCAGTACCAGGCCTTATTCAGCATGGATAAGGTTAGGTTTTTATTTTTCATATTTATGATTTTCTTACTACTGAAATTTCATAAAAATTAGCCTAGCAAAATTAAAAAGAATCCTCTTCATCTGGAAGATCAGCTTATTCCTAAGCAAAGATCTAGCAATGCACAGTGTGTTACATTAGGCATTTGGGAGTGTTTTGGGTTTTTTTTTTTTCTTCTTCTTAATTAAAGTCATTGAAACATAAAGCTCAAGGATATATAGAAAAATGATGTCACTAGCCTATTTCAACCCCTCTAAACCAAACATAGTATTAGTAGCGCCCACATCTGTGTCTCCAGTAAACACATGGAGGTCACTAGCCCACATACCCAAACAGCACATTTTTGGTTTTATTAATTTAGTTAGAATCTCTTAAGTATCAGTCTCTTTTTCTCCATTGCCATTGTAATTTATCATCCTTCACTTCAACCTATGCACTTGGTTCCTAATTGGTCTCCTTGTCTCAAGTCTATTTCTGACCATCAGCACCAAAAATACCACCTTCTACTTTACTTCCACAATGAGTCATTTTTAAATTATTGAGTACAGTGTCCTTAAATAGATATTAAATTCCTAATATTAAATGTATAAACACAAGGCTATTCTTTTACTCTCCTGCTCAAAATTCTTTGCCCACTTTGGTGATCCCTCGGCATCAGGTGTGTGCACTGAACTAAGTATGTAAGGGCTCAATAAATGTTGGAAAAAGTCCTAGGAAATTCATGTTAATCTAGAAAACCTCTTCAAGAACTAAGTGCAAACTTGTGATTCATAGTACTAATACTGTCATAGGTTATTTGATTAAAAACAGGTGCTTCTTTAAAAAAATTTCAATATATTATTATTGTATTAGGGGTACATTGTGACATTTACAAAAGTGCTTACAATATATATTAGTCAAACTCACCTCCTCCGTCATTCTCCTTTATCTCCCCCACCCCGCCTCCCTTCTTAGAATAGTTTCAACAGGTCTTATTTTTCCATTTTCATATATGAGTACATGATATTTCTACCATATTCACCCAAACAAGTGCTTCTTAAAGGCAAGATTCTAAAACACCATGAGAAATAATCAGCTTACTATTTGAACTCTACTGTTTTGAAATTTGTGGCAATTTAGAGAGACTTAAGTTTTGCTTTGTGATGCAGAATGAGAGGATTAGTAACACTCTTTAATACTCACAAAGCTGAGGGTGTAACTGTGGTAGTGCATGTTCAGCCTGGGTTCAATCCCTAACACCAGGAAAAAATAACAAAGCCTGAGTCCTAAGTGACACTTGAGTCTGAGAGGGAATAGGTTTGCCTGTGTTTCTGAGCATCACTAAATAAGTTTACTTAACCCTCTGGAACTTGCTCATCTGATTACTCTTTTTTATTGCTAGGCAGGCACTCTACCACTTGATCCAGATCCCCAGTCCTTTGAAGCTTACTCATCTAAGAAGTCAAGGCATTGGTTCCATTTAGTTCTAAAATTATATGATTCTAGGAAAAGTACTAATGGTGATGGGTAGTTGTAGTTAATAGGTCAAATGCTGTATGATTGTATTAGGAAAATATCATCAAAGATTATCTGAGTTCTCATTTATTTTTAATCTGTTCGTAGTGTGAACTGAATGTTACTGAGGATGCTTTGAAAGCCATAGCTAGATTGGCGCTAGAACGAAAAACAGGTGCACGAGGCCTTCGGTCCATAATGGTAAGTTGGTGTTACTTTAAATAAATAAATAAATAAAAATAAAACTCGATTATTTCTTGGTCTGAGTTTCAGAATATTAAGCTCCTCTGTTTTTCTTCTAGAAAATTGACTGAAAGTTGTTTTGAATTTTTGTGATTTTCTTTTTTTTGGGGGGGAGGAGGGTGGAGGTCACAATTTTATTTTTATTTTTTTTAATTTTTTATCCAGAGGTATTTTATGGCTGGGATGTAGCTCAGTGGCATGCATGAGACCCTGGGTTCAATTCCTAGCACCAAAAATCAAAATCAAAAACAAAAAAGAACTTTAAGGTGTTTGTAACATAGAACACACACATGATATGATTGATGAGATGCAGAAAATCAGAATTGTGGGAAGGAGAATTTGAATAAATATACATAGGCCTTTGACTAAGCATAGAGCCCTTTCTCAGACTAATTACAATCCCCATTTTTGTTTGTTTGAAAGTAAATTTACCATAACAAGTAAATTTACCATAACCTCAGTTCTTCAGTATGGTATGACCTCACTTTTTAATTTTATTAAAGATCCTAGGGACACAGACTGTTTTCCTGCCACCACTCACTCTCTTAGAGTTTTTGCCTTTAACCCTAGGTCTAGCTGAACAGTGAATTACTATTTTACTACCTACTCCCAAAGCAAGCATGTGTTCTTCTTCTCTTCTGAGGGTTTTGCTATCGACACTTTCTTCATTTCAATAGGACTTCTTACTGGAAATATACATTGATCATAGGCAGTTAGGAATTAAGGTGTTCCTACTAAGGATAGATTTGTAAAAATGAAAACTACAAGAGTAGGTAATATAGCTGACATTTTAAAGGAAATTTGATGTACTTATCTGTATTTCCCGTTAGATGGAATATAATCCAGCCTCCATCTAGAGGCAAAGCTAGTTTTCTAAAGGAAACAATAGGTCTACTGAAGCACATGGGGCAAATGTTCACTTAAGTCATAGTTTGAAATTGAAGAGGTAATTTAGGATTGTTTTCAATGGAAGGATTACCAGTTGACCTCCTCAGTCAGAATAAACCAGAAATGCTTCTAAGTAACATCTGAGTTTGAAACCGTAGTTTCTTTTTATATCTGCATGTTGTATAAATAGGCAGCACTATATACAAGTAGCTTATTTATAAGATGACTTTTCTGAATTCAGTTAGAAGCTATTTTAATATAAAGAATATGAAAGCGTTTACATTGTCTTCAGCATTGTGTTCCTATTGTAATAATAGACTCTGTATTTATTTAGTTTGTTTTTTGGCAGCATTGGAGTTTGAACTCAGGGCCTCATGCTTGCTAGGCAGGTGTTCTACAGCTTGGACCACTCTGCCAGCCCTCTTTGTTTGTTTGTTTGTTTGTAGTATTGAGGATTAGAACCCAGGCCTGGGGTTTGCTAGGCAAGTGCTCTACCTCTTGAGCCATGCCAAAGCCTATTTTTTTTTTTTAATATATATTTTGTTTCTGACATAGGGTCTTGCTAACTTTTCCCCGGCTGGCCTGGGAAAATTCACGATCCTCCTGTCTCTGCCTCCTGAGTAGCAAAACTCAATATTTCTTAAATGAATGGATTCACTTGGCCTATAGAATGAAAGCATTTTGTGTGCAATTTATTTTCCATGTAATTCATTGTTTTTTTGTCTCTTTAGGAAAAGCTGTTACTAGAACCAATGTTTGAAGTTCCTAATTCTGATATTGTATGTGTGGAGGTTGACAAAGAAGTAGTAGAAGGAAAAAAGGAACCAGGATACATTCGGTAAAGTGTATTTTCAAGCCAGAGCAGATGTAAAATTTAAGATCCTTATTGCTAGTTTATTGTTCTGTCATTTTAAAGTTGAATGATAGTTCTTATATTTGTAAGGGAAATAATCTCAAGAATTTTCTGCAGAAAAATCTGAGTATATAAAATATTTTGTGAGTCTTTTTGAAAAGTGGTCTTCAAAATTAGGCACCACTTCTCCAGTGTCAAAAGAGACATAAAAGTAGTCAAATTAAGAGATTAATGAACTTTGCTGCTAATTTTCTAACTGATAAATGACTTTTTTCATGGCTGTATAAGACCAAACTATTCTCATCAATTTCTCATAGTAGTCTACCAGCTGACAAAGTCAACACATCTTCCAAGTCAGCAAACTTTCTCATAAAGAACTAGGTATGTTAGGACCATACGGTCAAAATTTCCTTCATATCACAAAACCAGCCATAGACAGCATGTAAATGGATTAGCACGTTTGTATTCCAGTAAGTCAGTATTTACAAAAATAGGCAGTGGGTGAATTTTGGTCTATAAGTTACAGTTTATTGCAGTAATTTGTTAGGGAAAATGTTGAGAAATTTAGTTGTAACTCTGTTGTATACATGGCTTTCGTTATAGAGCTCCCACGAAAGACTCCTGTGAAGAGGAGTATGACTCTGGAGTTGAGGAAGAAGGATGGCCTCGCCATGCAGATGCTGCAAATAGCTAAACCGTCACAGTCCTGTCCTTTCCTCCTGTTGTTTAGGGTTGTAACTGTTTCTACAGTCTGACATTAAAGGCATTGAATCTATCTTGGATATCATAATACATGGTCAGAAGCCTTTAGGATAAGAATCAGATCATGTATATTATAACATCACATTGATTTATACAGAAGACATTACGTGGACTTTTTAAATGACACGATGTTTAGAGATAAAATGTATATTATTTTGGTTCAGTTTTTTAAAAATATGCTTTAACAAAATTCTTAGTACTTTAAGCAATGTAGGTGTTGCAATAACTGTGGATTTTACAATAATGTTACTCTACAAATGGGAAAATAAATTCTTTTAAAATTGAATTGGAATACTATTCTTCAGTATTACGTTTTTCTATCCAATTTAATTTCCTGAAAACTATTGACATTTTTTTGTCTAAAAATGACCAGTAGTTTTTCAATAGTAAAAATTCCATGGACGAAATACACTGAAGCACCATATTTGATGATTGTTTATGTATATCCTTAGACTTTTTTGTTAACGACAACACTACACTTCCCAACTGGTACTCTACACACACACACACACTTTAAAATTTAATTTCCTGAAAATATTGGAATTTTTTTTGTCTTAAAAATTGGACCAGGTAGTTTTCAAATAGTTAAAAATTCCATGGAGAAATACACTGAAGAACCATATTTTGATGATTTGTTTATGTATATCCTTAGACTTTTTTGTTAACGCACAACACTAACTTCCCAACTGGTACTCTACACACACACACACACTTTAAAAAGCCATTCTCTTGCTGACTTGATTTTTTTTTTTTTTTTTGCCATTTTTGAGACATTTTTAGTACCATGGGTGAGTAAATGGAATTAAAGTCTGAGTTACATCTTCAGAAAAAGACTAAACTAATTCTTTCAATAGCATGCTGTATCAGTCATAGTAAGAGCCATACGCGGAACTAAATAAAATATCCTAATAGTATACACTTCAGGAAATACTGAATTCATTTTCTGTTTTGTCTTTGGTGCTAAACATCTAATTCTTTGACTATCAGCCAAAATGATTATGTTCACACTAACATAATATAAATGCTTATTATATAGCAAAACTAAAAACTGGTGTGGGGGAATTTTTGGATTTAACAAATGAAAATTGTATGATTGGATTCTATTTAAAAACTATCCCAAGTACCCTTTAAGTTTTTTTTCCTTTCCTTCTGTAATGATACAAATTTCTTTATTATTCATTCAGTTCAGTTTCATTTGAAATTGTTTAAATCAGAGTATCTTTGTTCATTTTCATTTTTTTGGCTTTTAGAGTCTTGAGTTTTCCTTTACCCTCCTTTTCTAGGAAACAGACCTTAAGCTATTAAATTCTAAATCTTGTTGAAAACTTGGCTATTTATGGCTGGTGTTGGACCAGAAATTGAGTTTTGCATTGTGCTTAACCCTGAGGGCTATCAGAAGGAACAGAAAGAACCTTACTCTCCCTACTAATGGTTCAAGTTCTCCTCATGAAGTCTTTTAGATTATGGCTTCATTCATTATCTTTCTCTTACGGCATCATTTTCCTTTTGTAGAGTGGAAATTGGAGTAGTTTCTAAATATATTAAGGATAATGCTGCAAAAAATAGATTATGAGACATTTTAGTCACAACTTACATTTGTTTTTGGAAGTTGTTAAAGCATAATTGATGTTTTTAAATCAAACACAACTAAATATAACTACAGTTTGTATCTTGGAACTTAAGTTTTAGCATTTGAATAAAACAAAACTAAATGAAAGCCATTGTGGTGGTGTGTCCATGCTGCAACAATATAAGAGCACTCTGCATTAACAGTAACAAGGATAGCCACAGCAGTGCCATTTTTAAAGGGCACAGAGGTCATATAAGCTACTTTATTCCAGGAATTGGTTATAATCCTTGGTACTTCAGTATTCTAGTTGAAGATTCCACAGTTTTATTAGTTTATGTTAAACATTATTTAAAATACCTAAAGATCCTACACAAAACCTGACATACAAAAGACCAGCTTTTCAAGAACCTTACTAGTCTTGTAAAGGGAACCAAACACAAACTTCAGTGCATTATATTAGAGGAGGTGAGGTAGGCACAGCTGTGGTGGTCCAGATGGATCTAAAAGAACAAGTAGGAATTTGCCAGAAAAGAATGAAGATTTAATTAAAATCTCAGACGTGTGAAAAACCAGGGAGACTTCATAGTTGAGAAATATGTAACAATCATGACTCCCTTTAACTGTGACCATTTAATATTCTTTCCTTCATCCAGCTGAAGACATGCTTCATACTTCACCTGATGGAACTCATCATCCCCACCATCTGTGAATCTGCATACTTCATTAGATAATCTTTCAAGTTACAACTGAAAGGCACCTCTTTCCAAACTCAAATCTCTCCTTATATCCTCTGGGTCCCATCATCCCCTCTCATTTCTCAAGGTCGTTAGTTCTTCTATTAGTGTCTCTGTTACATTACCTGTCTCCTGCCTGTAGTGCTACTCTCAGTACCACTGTTAACTATACCCAGCACCCACCATAGTGCTTCATATATTTAGTGATCCATACATTTTTAAAAAGAACCCCTGTATACCAGGTTAAATTGTAATTTTTTTTTTACAGAAAGTAGATTTATTTAAAAGTTTTAACCAGGAGAGTTGGGCATGACTAGCTGTGTATTTTAGACTGTGGAGAAGGGCAGACTGAGAAAAATGAATGGAAGGAAACAAGAAGAAGCCTGCCCAAGAACATTTCTCTATCACCTGCCTCTCTATCTTTTATCAGTTTTCTCCTTTTTCAGATCCGTTCTCATCAGCGTACAAACAAGATATAACTTCATTGAACCCACATCCTTTCTATGTGCTTGTTCTCCTTCACAGCGAAGCGAAAAGTTCTTGCTGCTTCCAATTTCCTTCCAGGCTTTGGCTCTGAGATCAGAAATTGTTGGGAGGTTTTGCATAGAGAAATAACATCTGACTTAAGTTTTAAAGACCACTCGTTGCAGTAGGAGAGAAGAGACTATAAGAGCAGAGCAAATATGATGATCGATTGGACTAAGGAAGTAGCAGTGGAAGAACAATTGGATGGGTAGATATTTTTGCAAACTAATGAGAACTGATATTCCACATTCTTCAGGGGGAAATTAGATACTATAAAATGTCTATTATCCCTAAATTATAAATGTAATGTTCTAACAAAATACCAAATTTTTAAAATTAAAACTAGGCAAGGCAGTTGTTTAGATGAGGAAATTGAAGCCTAAAGTGCTTAAGCATCCCCAAGCTCATGCAACTAATAATAGAACCAGGATTTAAATTCAGGTACATGGTTACACAGCTTATGCATTTAACAAACACACTAAAAAAAGAATGAGGAGGGGCTGCCTCTGCTAGCTATTTTGAAAATACAAAGTTTTGAAAAGTGCATGAATGAACAGAGAGACCAACAGAAAAGAATGTAAAGTTCAGAAATAGATAAAAAATAACAATAAGGGGGATGTAATATGTGGGGAAAAATGACATTTCAAATTAAGAAGAGTATTCACTATGGAAATGACAACTGAGTAGCCATCTGGAAAATACAAAGTTACACCTTTGTAATTTTAAGGTTAAAAACTGAAGCTTTTGAATATTACATAGTATAATTCTGGGAAGTTTGAGAGGTCTCTTTGGAAGTGGGGTCAAACTAATTGTTCCTAAGTTATGACCCCAGAAGTCATTGTCATAAAGGTAAGAAACCGAACTCACTTTTCTGATCTAAACTCTTGTCATAAAGAGATTAATACTTGAAAATATGGGCATGTCCATCATCTAGTTACTTTGCTCAGAGAAACAGTATCTTGAAACGTAAATATCTAGGACTGGAAGTATAGCTAAAGTTGTAGTGTATTTCATTGCACGCAAAACAAAACAACAGGCTTGAATAACTGGATACCCATTGTCCAAAAAACTTGGTCGAACTGAAAGTCTTACACTTAATACAAAAATTAAAATAGATCACAGACTGAAATGCAAGCCTATAAAACTTTCAGGAAAAAAAACCCAAAGATATTCAGGATCTAAGGCTAGGCAAAAAGTTCTTGATTATAAAAGTACAATCCAGAAAAAAGGGCAAAAGGCATGAACAGACACTTCAATAAAAAGGATACATCTGTGACAGACACACATGAAAAGATGTTCAACCTAATTAGCCATTAAGTTAATTAAAATGACAATAAGATGTATATCTGTCAGGATGTCTGAAATAAAAACATGAAACACTGGTGAGAAGTCATGAAACCAGATCGCTCAATGCATTACTGATGAGAATGTAAAAAGGCACAGCTATTCTGGAAAACAATTTGGCAGCTTCTTTAAAAACTAAACATGCAACTACTACATGACCCAGCATTTGCACTCCTGGGCATTTATCCAGAGAAAGGAAGGCTTCATAGCTATGCATGCACACAAATCAACTGTAAAAATGTTATAGCATCTTTGTGCATAATCACACCAAACTGGAAATGACCCAAAAACTCCTGCAGGCAAATGGTTAAAGTGTGGTGTACCCATATTATGGAATACTGCTAAGCAACAGAAAGGAACAATATTGACACAACCTAGATCACAGGCCAGAGGACAATGGCAAGTGAAAAAAGCAAGTCTCAAAAGGCATGTGTGTAGATGAATTGTTGCCAAGGATTAAGAAGAAGGTGGGTTAAGGAAGAGATGCAATTCCGCCCAAGTGCTGGAATTGCAGACATGTACCACCAATTCTGACTGTAGATTTTGTATTCTGCAAGTTTGCTGAAATGGTTCATCAGATATGTCTTCTGTTGGAGTTTTGTGGGTCTTTTGAGAAAAGGATCATATCATTTCCAAATTGGGATGGTTTTTAATTTCTTTTTCTATTTGTATTTCCTTTGTTTCTTTCTCTTGCCTTGTTGCTCTGGTTAGGATTTCACACATTGTATTGAATGGAAGCATTGAGAGTAGACACCCTTGTCTCCTTCCTGATTTCATAGGAAATGTTTTCAATTTTTTCCCACTCAGTGTGATACTAGCTATAAGTTTGTCATATTTACCCTTTACATAATTGGGGTGTGACCCTCCTAGTTTCCTCATGGCCATATGTCATGGGATGTTGAATTTTGTCTTAAGGTTTTTTTTTTTTTTTGTTTTTTGCACCTTTTTTGAGATGATTGTGAAGTTTTTGTCCTCAAGTCTGTTTATGTGTTGTTCTGCATTAATGGATTTGTGTGTTTTAAAAAAAAAAAAACAACCCCAGGAGACTTTGGACATTCTAACTTCTGTCCATCTCCCCAAGATTACAAGGCTCTCTTCAGGTTTCTGTGCTCCACACACACTGGCATTTTTTTCAGTCTCCCCATTAGACATATTCCTATTTTCTAGTACATGCTGTGCCCATCCGAACTGTGTTTCCCTCTCTTCTATTTGGCCTTCAGATCAAGGCTGAAGCCTCTAATTATTAGGACAACCTTCCCCGACCTCTTTGACTAAGTTACTTATCATTACACTTCTACATTCGTTGACATGACTACTTGATTAATATGCTTTCTTCAGGAGACAGGTAGTTCCACGAAGAACAGACTGCCTCTTCGTCTGTTTGCGGAGCTCCTGCCACCACACCTCCAAAGCTCAGCTAAGGAAGTAGGTCTGGCAAAGAACCAGAGGGTGAGACCATGCCGGCCTACGCGGGCGCTTCCGGAAGGGGCACGTCTCACCGTAGTCGCGCGTCGTAAGACGTCATTTCCGCCCCGAAGACACTTCCTGAGAAACACAAATTCCTGTCACTTTTGAGAGCATCTCCTACCTGAAAATGGCCTTGCCGCCCTTCTTCGTCCCGGGTCGCCCGGGCCCACCGCCCCCACAGCCGCCGCCTCCTGCTCCCTTCGGCTGCCCGCCACCGCCGTTGCCCTCCCCGGCTTTCCCGCCGCCTCTTCCCCAGCGGCCCGGCCCTTTTCCGGGGGCCTCTGCCCCTTTCCTCCAGCCTCCGCTACCTCTGCAGCCCCGGGTCCCCGCGGAAGCCTCCCGCGGCGGTGGCGGCGGCGGCTTCTACCCACTGCCGCCACCGCCGCTGCCTCCGCCGCCGCCCCAGTGCCGGCCCTTCCCAGGAACCGACGCCGGCGAGCGTCCGCGGCCACCGCCTCCAGCCTCGGGGCCGCCCTGGAGTCCACGTTGGACTGAGGCGACACCGCCGGCCGATGCGCTTGGGGACACGGCCCTGCAGCGCCTGCGCGACCGGCAGTGGCTGGAGGCGGTGTTCGGGACCCCCAGGCGGGCGGGCTGCCCGGTGCCCCAGCGCACGCCTCCTGGGCCCAGCCTAGGCGAAGTGCGCACGCGGTTGCGCGGGGCTCTGCGCCTGGTGCGGCGGCTACGCGGCCTGGGTCAGGCACTGCGTGAGGCCGAGGCCGACGGCGCGGCCTGGGCCCTGCTGCACGCTCAGGCCGCGCCGCTGCGCGCCGAGCTGGCCGAGCGCCTACAACCGCTGTCCCAGGCTGCCTATGTGGGCGAGGCACGGCGGAGGCTGGAGAGGGTCCGGCGCCGCCGGCTGCGGCTTCGCGAGAGGGCCCGAGAACGCGAGGCCGAGCGGGAGGCGGAGGCCGCGCGGGCAGTGGAACGCGAGCAAGAGATTGACCGCTGGAGGGTCAAGTGCGTGCAGGAGGTGGAGGAGAAGAAGCGGGTGAGAGCTGCGATGCGGCCGGTGGGAGGGGTGGTGGTTGCAGCCAGAAGCCGCTTGAGGCTTTGAACTGCCATTTCCCAGGACGTAGGTACCTCTATTGTAATTGCGTGTTAATGACGGGTGGTCCACAAAACAAAAGCCCCAGGTGCACCGTAAAGTCCTGTAAACACAAATTGTGGGATTACACAGTTGCATTGCTGGAAGGACAGCATGAGTTAGAGCTTGGCTCCCTCAAGGAACATACACCCTGTGGCTGATGGAGCACTAGCGATTCCCCAGAATATATTAGTTTTATTTCTTTTAAACCACATACCCTCAGTTTCAGCAGTGGTATTTTTGAGCACATGCTGTGTGTATTCTGGGCACTACATACACACGATCTTGAATCTATACCAACTCTGAGAAACAGGAGGAATTACCCCAATTTTACAGGTTAGGAAATGGAGCACAAAGAGGTTAACTTGCCAGCAACCACTTTGCGCCAGTTTACTTCCGATTTAAGCCAAGGCTGTCTGATTCCAAAGCCTGTCTATCGCAAGCTTTTTTTTTTTTTTTTCTTCTTCTTCTTCCTATCACAAACTTTTTAAGTAGAGCCAGGGTGAAACTGGAAATTGATCAGATATTTGTTTAAGGCATTCTCATTACCTTTGAGTGCTTTCAGGGCTCCATTTCCCCCTCCCTTCTCTCTCCATAGTCAATTAGCATCTCCTTGTGGCTGCTGTTGCCCTAGAGACTGATGGAACTTCGTTGTGAAGTGTATTGATGACAAGTTTTATGATTGCACCCTCAAGAATATCATTACTTTAAAGAAAGGTGCCTGGAGAGGCAGTGCTTTCATCTTCAGGAACTTGAATACTCAGCAGACATTTAGTAAAGGCATTTTAGGTGCCACACTGTGTGATACCAAGGATAAATAAAGATCCTTGTTCTTGAGAGGGTTTAGAGCTTCATGGGATTATGTCAGTATAATATGATGTGTGTGAGGATTTCAACTATAGATGAAGTAAGGATCTGGGTTTGTAATCCATTGGGGGAAGGCTTCCTACACATAATGATATCTGAGCTGAACCTTGAAAGAAACGTCAAAGCCAAGTGAAAGCAAGGTGCATTTCTAGGCAGAGGGAGAAATACAAGCTGAAGAGTAAAACAGCTTGGTTTTGGCTATAATGGTGGAATTACAGGTACTTATTTGACACATGGGAGAATAACTAGGCAAGAGGATGATGATACTGAAGACAGAATCCCATGAGGAATGGCTTGAGGAACTGGTGTTATTTAGTGTCTTTGTGAATGATGAGTAGAATGATGGCCTTCACATGTTTGAAAGGTGGTCATGTGGAAGAGATCTTTAAGCAATGGAGCATAAACTGCAAAGGCTGCCACTCAGAGACCTTTGTAGAGTTCTGGACTTATCCAATCCTGTTCCTTAACTTCCCTGTGAGTCTGAATCTTCAGGCCTATGAGTTTAAATTTTTAATAAAAGAACCCCAATTTAAAAGGTAAGTTAGATGCAGATGCTCCCAGGACTCCACTTTGAGAAACATTGAAAACAAACAAGGACTTGGTACCCACATAGAAGCTACAGAGAGGAGAGATTCTCCTTTAAGAAAGAAAACTGTACAGGCATAGTTACATGCCTGGAACTCAGGAGGCTGAGTCAGGAAGATTGAAAGTTTGAGGCCAGCCTGGGCTACAAAGTGAGACCCTGTCTCAAAAGGCAAAACAAAAAGTTGTCTGGTGGGAAGGGATAAGCACTTGGCAAGGCCATTGTATAGCAGAGTTGTACCAGACCTAGGAAGTTGGAGTATAGATTCAGCAGAGTCTGTCTTAACAATGGGATGGATCCTCTGAAATTTTGCCATTGGGCAGCTGTTATCTTTACTGTAAGATTGTTGCTAATACAAGGTCTTGTGACTCTGTTTCTCCTCCAGGAGCAGGAACTCAAAGCTGCTGCCGATGGTGTCTTATCTGAAGTAAGGAAAAAACAAGCAGACACTAAAAGAATGGTGGACATTCTTCGAGCTTTGGAGAAATTGAGAAAACTGAGGAAAGAGGCTGCAGCAAGAAAAGGTAACTATAGCTTTGCATTTCTACTTACATTTCTCCTTCTCCCTACAGCTTCCCTACCCCAAGTATTTTTGAAACAAAAATATTTGCTACTTGATGATTTTTATTGTGTAAGGGTAACTGGGGCATCAGCAGCATCTTGGATGTTTTGAGGCAGAAAGCCTCAGATGTGTAGCCCCTGGTAGTCACAGCTGAAAAGACACAGGTATGGGAACCTACTGCACTGTCTTGCTCTCAACTCATCATTCCTACTCCAAACATTCCTCAATTCACTTTTCTCAGTGGGCTTGCCGTGGCTGGTTAGCATTGCAGGTAAACGCTTACTGCTCCAGGAAGTGTTGAAAACTTAACTTGAATTATTGGTTTTGAAGAAATATGAGTAGTAGGACAAGACAGAGAGTGTGGATGTTCCCAGCTTCCCTGTATGTAACTTTTAGACTCAAAAGACCTCAGTGATCTCCTCTTTGTTTTTTTCCTGAAGAAATCAAAGATTTATTAGGATGCCATTGAAAGGGGATAGAGTAGCAATCATTTATGCAAAGGAGCATAGCTTATCCACATACGGTTGGGAATAGGATTAGGCCACTTTTGATGGGTTATCTCCCTTTTTGTGGATCTTACTGATTGGTTGTCTGTCTTGACCATGGTTTGAATTTTGCATTGGTGGGAACATCTCCTAAGATTGGCCCCTCCTTCTTCATTCTGCCTGGGCCTTAGTATTGTTCCTGCCATGCCTTGGTAAATTGGGAACTTTCCTTCACATCCCCTCTGACAGCAACAAAAGCAATTCTGGTTTTAGCGGAGTAGAAGTCTCATCTTATAATTGCTTCAAGCTCAGTAGGGTTGTAGAGATGTCTCTGCTTATGTATTTTATGTTGTGGCCAAGGATTATGGAGCAGTCCATTGAGACTAGCAGGATCTAACTGACTACCAGAACGAAATTGTACAGAAGCCTGGTACAGGAGTCTGAGGCACTGGAGGGTCAGGAGGTGGGGATGAAAGCCACATTATTGCATCATTTATAATTTTATGGCCACTGGCACCAAAAACTCCTTCCACAGGGCAGAAATTGTCCTTTCACAGGCAGAGATGATATTATCCAAGGAGTCAGTGAGGGGATTTGAAGTAAAAGTGTGAGGAGAGAGATAGGGTCCCCTACAGCATACATTCATTCCCAGTGAGCTTCCACTGCCAGTTGCACTGTGCGTTGGAAGTGGGGACTTGAAAATGGAGAGGACAGATCGGCTCTTCACCCTCATGGACTATAGGTGGATAGACCCCTTTTCTTGATTTTTTGTTTTTGAGGGCTTTACCCAAGAGTTGTCCTGGCCAGAGATGCAAACATTTTAGGGGAAGTAGGTCATTCCATCAAAGAGTCAATATAAGTCTCAGGTCCTTCATGCCTGAGAATGATAGAATTATTGCTAATTTTTTTTGGTGTGATAATGGCTTAATAGTTGTTGGTGGGTATTTAGACATTCATTTTTGTGCACTTTTTTTTTTTTTTTTTTTGGTAGCACTGGAGTTTGAATTTAGGGTCTCACGCTTGTGAGGCAGGTGCTCTACCACTTGAGCCCCTCCACCAGCCCTGTTTTAGTGTTGGGTATTTTTGAGGTAGGGTCTTACAAACTGTTAGCCCTGGCTGGCTTTGAACCTCCATCCTGCTGATCTCTGCCTCCTGAGTAGCTAAGATTATAGGCATGAGCAACCAGCAGCTGGCTGAAATTTTTTGATAAAGTTTAAGAAAAAGTTTTTAAAAACTAATGAATACTTGAATGGACTGCAGTTGTGTGCTCATTACTGTAACAGCTCTGCAGTATAAAAACTGTTGAAACCTCCAGGTGATTCAATGTAGAGTGATGTGGTTGTGGTCCATCTGGTTAGTCCTTGAAGATTTTAAAAGAAAATGTAATTTTATTATCCCAGTGTTTTAACAATATCATAAACAAGGAAGAAAATCCTAATCCTGTTACCATTACCAACTTTTTTTTTTAATTTCCCCATGTTCCCATCTAGTCTTTTTACTTATATATTAGCAACTCATATAGTTCAACATAATATCTATATAATTTCCACACCTCCATATTGACTCTACATATCCTTCTTCAGTCTTCAGTTATTTAATGCCTATCCAATCCCAGCAAGCAATGTACTATAATATACTTAACAAACTTCTTACCTCTGGACACTTAAGCTGTTTACAATGCCCTGTTATTACATAATGCTACATTATAATCCTATGATAGCAGATTCTCCCAATTGTGACTTTACACATTTGGTTGCAGTGTTAACTGACCTTGAAGTTAAATCACGTAACAGACATCTGGTTTTCCTGGGGTTCAGAGTGTTCCTGGGACACAGGGCTTTTAGTACTAAAAGCAGGCAAACTGAAACAGGTGGTCACTACATTGTCAGGAGCAGGCTGTGAGATCAGTGTGGTTAGTTGTGTGTCTTCTTCAAGAAGTGTGCTCCAGGAATTGAGAGTGGCAAGGGGAGAGTTGGCTGTTAGGTCTGGAAGTTAATGCTGAGGGAATTTCACGAACAGTGGAAAAGTTAAGACAAGTGCCTCCCTTTAGTGAGATCCCTGTCCAACTGGAGGAAGGACTGGAATGTTAGAAGGAAACAAGACCAAAGGTTAAGTGATGTTTCAGAGGAAGGAGCTAGAGAAGGGTCAGAGAAGTTGGAGCTTCAAAAACATCAAACTGAGCCTTGAAGATTGGGTAAGATTTTCAGATTCTAAGCAAATTTGTGCTCTAGGTAGGGCTTGGAATCTGCTCATTAGAACATGGGTCTGGGATAAGAAAAAGTTCTGTCTAAATGCCATGTGGTTCTTTTTGCCCAGGGGTCTGTCCTCCAGCCTCAGCAGATGAGACCTTTGAGCACCATCTTCAACGACTGAGAAAACTCATTAAAAAACGCTCTGAATTGTATGAAGCGGAAGAGAGAGCCCTCAGAGTTATGTTGGAAGGAGAACAAGAGGAAGAAAGGAAAAGAGAACTGGAAAAAAAACAGAGGAAAGAAAAAGAGAAAATGTTACTTCAGCAACGTGAAATTGAGTCCAAACTATTTGGGGATCCAGGTAAGTTTCTCTGTACCCAGTGGACAGAAGGAAGATACTAAATTTACAGCTCTTTTCATCATGGGCAATCTGACCTAAGCCCAGAAGTGGTAGGCAAGAAATGACATCTTTTTGTTTCAGATCCCAAACTCTACTTTGGAGGTTATGGCTACAGATGAAATATATTTGATCCTGTTGTCATAATTATAGGCTCAGTCACTTTGCCTTGAAAAATATATTCTTGAGAGCAAGCATAGTAATGTGGTATTGTGCTTTTCTCTTTTAGATGAGTTTCCACTTGCTCACCTGTTGCAGCCTTTCCGACAGTATTATCTCCAGGCAGAGCACTCCCTGCCAGCCCTCATCCAGATAAGGTCAGGAGGGGCTCTTCTTGGTGCCTTTTCTTAGGTAGCAAGAAGCTCTTGATGAATTGCTACATTGTTGAGTCTGTTACTACATTTTTTTTTTTTTAATTCCTCATGGGTTTATGGTGTAACCAAATTTTGAAGGTGCCATGTACATCTTATTTAGTCTTTATTAACCCCTGAGAAGTATGTGTCTCCATTTTAACAGGTAAAAAAACCCCTAAAACTTGGCTTATTGTTTTGCCCTTTTGTATAGCAATTAAATTGATTTAAAGCATTGTCTTTAGCTGGGTTGATGGTGCATATTTATAATCCCACCTACTCCAGGGATGGAGGCAGGATTGCAAGTTTGAAGCCAGGCTGGGCAAAATTAGTGAGATTGTATCTCAAAAACAAAAGATCTGGGGTCATGGCTTAAGTGGTGGAGCACTTGCTTAGCAAGCTGATTTCAATCCCCAGTACTGGGTGGGAGACGTAGACACCTTGGCTTTGTTTTTCTAGTTCTCTTCTGGTGCTAAACAGACCCAGGAATAGAAACCCTCTTGTAGTTGCCTGTGGAGACTGTTTAAGACCTGTGCTGACTTCTGAGCTCCTATGAGTCAGAGCCCAGAGAGCTGAACAAGGCTCTCATCTGAATCAGTAATTTTTTGTGAGCGAGGCAGTTTCCAGCTATGTCTGGGTCTCATTCTTGTCACCTGTAAAATGGAGATGATGGACTAGAATGTGGCCTTTAAACTGTAGCAGCAGACCCCTTCTCAAATGCAGTCAAATTTTGAGAAATCAGTAGGTAAAACAAATTGAATAAGTCCCTGGCAGTTTAATTTGTTGTTGCCTAGAAGCACTTCGTTGTTTTCCACATTCCCCAAAACATCTTGGTGCCTAAAGATCTTCAGAGTATGACTTGAAAATAATCAAAGCAATCTCTGAGTTCCCTTCCAAAGCTCCAACCATTTGTGATTCATGCGAAAGAATGCTCGTTTAGCATACCACGTTTTTTTTTCTTGCTGATATACAAGTTTGAGCTTTCAGATATAGTACAGTCAATTAATTCCTCATTATTCATGATAGCTACATTCTGTCAAGTCACTGTGAACAATGACTTACAAATACTGAACCATTGTTCTTAAAGAAAACAGGGCTTGGTAGACTCCTGCGAGTCTCTAGTCATAACATCAGCTGATTAGAACCTGGTTTCATGTGTACTTTTGTTTGAAAACACCTTATTTAATATATATTGTTGAGTCATTAATATTGACCTCATGGATTTTTTGAGTTTTCTTTTTTTTTTTGGTGGGACTGGAGTTTGAACTTAGGACTTTGCCCTTGCAAAGCCAGAGCTCTACTACTTGAGCCATGCCTCCAATCCCAACATTGACTTCATGGTTAACTGCATTATAACCATGCTTGAATGAAACATGGCTTTTTTCTCCACAAGGCACAGCACATCTCTTAGACTTAGCAACAGTAGCTAGCACTTTATCAGGAGTCTTACCAGAACTCTTGGGGGCCATTCTAAATAGCAAAATCATCAGTAGAAAGCACAAAAATGTGGAAATGTGGCATTAAATAGACCATAACTTATAGTCTACGAGCTGAAAACAAGAAGACAGAGTGGGCATTGCCTTGTTTCACCTGAGTTTAAAATGTGCGTTTTGGTGACTCAGATTTTTCACCACTCTCTGCCATCTGTAGGTGTCTGTGAAATTGCCACAAATGATGATTTGAGGGTTACAAATAAGTGTTAGTGAATTAAATAGTGAAATAAGTTTGCAAATACAGAATCTGCAAAGAAAAAGGATCTATTATATGTTAATTATTTGGTTGTCCATGAGGTGTAAGTTCTTTGGGGTTTTTTCTCTAAATGTGTGCATTTTATGTAATTTTTTGCGTAATTCCAACTTCTATAGCAGAGTAGTAAATCAATCATTTGCCAGCTAAGTCCTAGAAATAGAATATTTAGTTGCTGAACATCTTGCTTGGAAATAAATAGTTCTTCTATAACATTCTTATTAAGGCATGATTGGGATCAGTACCTGGTGCCATCTGATCATCCTAAAGGCAACTCCGTTCCCCAAGGATGGGTCCTTCCTCCGCTCCCCAGCAACGACATCTGGGCAACTGCCATTAAGCTGCATTAGGAAAGATTCTCCAGGAGTGTGGTCCAGCGAGTGCACTTTCCAGCTCTAAATAATGATGCTGCTTTCTCATGCTGCAAACTAAAACACAGCCTCTAAACTCATTTGGCATTGCTCTAACCTGAAGTTAGGCTTTCTTCTGTTCTCTGTCCTGGCCAGAGGTACCTCTTGAATCAGGAGATTAATATGGTTCTTCAGGAAAGGACCTAGGTGAACTGAGGGTATTCCCACAGGCAGTGGCCTTGGTTCACTAAGTTTGCCTCTGTTTTGAGGGGCTTGGTCCAGGGTGACTTGTTAATTTGCTGTAGCTTCCTTGTATGTTGATGGGTAAGTACACTCAATACACCCACTTATTCCATACAGGTGGATGTAGGTAGATTTAGTAGCCCCTCCACCAATGTTGCTTATGAAGGCAAGCTTCATGCAAAACCTCCTTAACTTTCCTACCTGAAGATCCCTCTGACTCTTAGGAGTAAAGTTCAAAAATTTGACCTTCAGTTTTGTTAATCTCAGTTTTGGTGCAGTGTGAGAAGCTGCTAGTTAGGATGATGGCAATGGCTGCAAGCTGGGTGCCAGAAAAGATGACCATCTAGTTTTAGTCCTGTGGAGAACTTAGAAAACCTGAAGAGTACCTGTACCTAGATTGGATCATGTTTTAATAGGAAGTGGCTGTATTTTCCTCATGTCCACCATCCTAATGAAAGCTCTTGTTTTTGAAGTTCCTTGGGGTCTAGTTGTTCAAAATCTTCAGGGATGGAAATTATTTCCTAACGGAACTGGGACGTTAATGTCAATCAGTCACATAGTAGGAGCTGCTATAGCTGTGGAATTTTCTTAGGCGCTCAAGCTTCTGAAAACATCCAGGTAGTCACAGTTGGGGAAGAAGAAAATAAGTGATAAAATTTATTTTTATATTCATTAATTAATGTTGTGCTCGGAGATGATCAATCATATAACATGTCAGGTGTTTTTGTTTTGTTTGGGGTTTTGCCAATTATTTTGTTATTTAATTTCAAAAATTTAAATAAATATCATTTTTATTATTTACTTTGAGCCTTTGCCCCCAATTTGTTGCCTCTCAAGTCATTTAACACATTTCACCTTCACATTGCTAAAACATTTTCATTCCAAAATTAAAATTCCTTAAACAGGCATTAGCTACAGGAAAATGGATCTTAAACACAAAACTTTGCCTTCAAAATCCAACTCTGGATAAGTGAGAAAAGGACACCGTGAACTTTGGAAATGATACATAGTTGGAAGACTTGGGTGCAAGATACGAAATGCCTTGTCCCTTTTCTGTTGTTTAATTTGCATTGCTTGATTTATGCATTATGCCTTACAGAATTAACAGACAGGGAATGAGGGCACATCTTCACAAAGTGTGTCTGAGCTCATAAACCTTAAAGTCTGATAGGCTTAGCCTCACATAATCCTAAGTGCTATGTGCCTTTTTGTTGAAATCTCCATTGTTTGGTTTGATGAGATGCAGGAGGAGCAGAAATGAAAGATGACTTGTACAGTGCTTGGTGTCCCAGCAGCCTTACCACTGAGACGTCTGTGCTGATGGAGTGGGAATGTGATGCGGCATTTAGGAGACTCAGGCAGCAGAACTGAGAAAAGGGGGCTTTGAACCCTAAGTGGAGCCTCTCATTGGGCCTCTGCAAGATTTTTATAAAGTGAACATTATTTTGTTTGGTTTTTATTTCCTTAGTTTTTCCTGGTGTATTGCCTATCTGTTGGGTGGCAGCATACGCTGTTCTTTTAGCCACAGGTTTAGGAAGAATCATAGCATGTTTAATGAATTTTATTTTGAATGTCACACATATTCCATGGTCTTTTTTGTTTTTTTAACTACTGGAAAATTTCAAATATATTCAAAAATAAAATACAACTTTTTTCCATATATGCATCATTCAGTTTCAAATTATTGTTTCATCTATATCTCCAACACTCACCCTGGGTTATTTTGAAGCAAATTCCAGACATCAAATTACTTCATGAATATTTCAGTATGGAGCCTTAAATTACTTTTTCTTTTTTTTTTTTTTTGGTGGGGGCGGGACTGGGGTTTGAACTCAGGGCTTCACACTTTCAAAGCAGGAACTCTGGTCTACCACTTGAGACACACTTTCAGTCCTTTTTTCTTTGGTTATTTTGGAGATGGGGTCTTGTGAACTATTTGCCCAGGCTGGTCTTGAACTGCAACCCTCCTGATCTTAGCCTCTCAGTAGAAAAATTTAATCATAATACTGTTACCATAGCCACAGAAATGAGAGACTTCTTAATATCCAGTTTGCTCAGGTTTTCTATTTCAAATGTGTTTAACATTTTGTTCAAATAAGGATCTAAGTACAGCCTAAACATTATTAACCAATAAGTGCTTTTTTTTTTAATGTGTAGATATCTCTCTTGCTTCCCTCTGTGTACTCTCACCCCTGTCTTTTCCTTGCAGTTTACTTCTTGAAGAAATAGCATCATTTTTCCTGAAGAGTTCTCACAGTCTCTGTTTTGCCAATTGCATCCTGGTGATGCCATGTCCTTCTGTTCCCAAATTCCCTGTAATGACTGAACAGCTGCACTGTCCAATATAGCAGTCATAGGTGGTTGTGAGCACTTGAGATGTGACTAGTTAGAATTAAGATAAACCTTAACTTTTGTGGTTCACAATATATTCCCACTGGATCACACAGATCTAGAGGCTTGATCACATTTAGATTAGAATTTTATGACAAGAATGTATATGTGGTGTGTCCTTCCCATTCAGGAGGCACTAATATCTGGTTGTCTCTGTGATGTTAGCAGCCACTATAATCAAGATCTAGACTCATTCATTCGGGATTGAAAAAAGTGAATTTCCTGAGAGTGGTATTACATTTCTATAATTCTAGCACTCATTAGGCAATGGCCAGCAGGACCTATATAGCAAGACCCTGGCTAAAAGAAAAGACTGGCTCAAGTGGTAGAGCGCCTGCCTAGCAAGCATGAGGTCCTGAGTTCAAACCCCAGTACTGCCAAAGGAAAAAAGAAGGTAACTGAGTTTTGTTACTCTTCAAGTAGTAGCAGGAATACTTCTAAAAAGAGAAACTTGCCCTTATCTACTATTTGATTATCCTTAGGTATAGGAAAATAAAAAGATAATTTGTTCCTTTATTTGCTAATTTTTAAAATACTGAGCTGGTCCCCTACTTTCTCCCAAAGGTTGCCACTGAGTTTTGTTCCCAAGTATCATTATGAACTTCAGTCTAAACATTTTCAACCCAGAGTTATCTTTATTGACTGTCATCTATAGCCAGTAAGAGTCTTCAGCTAAACTTCTGAGTTCCCATATAATCCCAGTATTCTGTTCTTAAACTAATTTGGTGTATTTGCTGCCCAGACATCAGTCTTTTTTTTTTCTAGTGAGCCCTGGCTCCATGTTGAGCCTTCAGCCTTTTTCTAAATCATGTCCATTTTATACTTTTACCTAAATTCTCCATATGTTGAACATCAGTAAATGAAAACAAAAAACAAAGACTAACCAGAAAACTAAATGAACTTCAGTCTAAACATTTTCAACCCAGAGTTATCTTTATGGACTGTCATCTATAGCAGTAAGAGTCTTCAACTGAACTTCTGAGTTCCCATATAATCCCAGTATTCTGGTTCTTAAACTAATTTTGTGTTTTGCTGCCCAGACATCAGTCTTTTTTTTTTCTATGAGCCCTGGCTCCATGTTGAGCCTTCAGCCTTTTTCTAAATCATGTCCATTTTATACTTTTACCTAAATTCTCCATATGTTGAACATCAGTAAATGAAAACAAAAAACAAAGACTAACCAGAAAACTAACCAATTATTTGTTAATTCATCATATCCAAGAATATTCTTTTATCTCCTAGAAGAGGAGACTCAGGACTTGTGAAAAAAAATTCGGCAAAAATATATAATCTTAAGGAATTAGATAAACACGGAAGATTAGAAAGCTGTGAGAAAAAGATTAATTTATGTTAGATACCGAGTACTCAGCCCAGCAACTGTCCAAGAATTTGCTGCTACAAGCCAACCAATTTAATCACTAAATCCATTCATGTTTCCATGTTCATGTGACTTTTGGGACAAGAAGCTTAGCTGGGATTATACCATCTGCTGTGGTAGTTCACTTCTACATGTTCTGGCCACAGAGAAGCTCTCCTCGGAATTGCAAGGTAAGTACAAAGTATACAATTATACAATAGATAAGAGGAATGTGGATGTTATGAAGAATTAGCAGTGGCTTATTTTAGACAATAGAGATTAAAGGAGACATTTCCAACTATATTTTAATACTTACTGAGCTATTTACTTCTGTGTGTACCATGCAGGAGCTCCTGATTTGCCACCTATGAAGAATTTGTTTCCAATGCAGATTCATTTGCCTTTTGGAATAAATTTGGTGTCTCACAATCTCTGAAGAAAAGATCGAGGTATTTGGGGCAAGTAGTGTTAGAATGCATAACTGTGCAGGACAGCAGACTTTTCTCAATTTAATAATTCATGCTTCCCGGAATCAGGACACTAAGATTTGAACTGTGTCCTTTGAGAGTTGATTTTTTATTATTTTCCAGGTTCTGTATTCGGTGCCATGAGACATAGAAAGGAGCAGATGGGGCTTCATACTTGCTAGGCAATGCTGAGCCTTGCCTCCAGCATTTTTCACTCTGGTTATTTTGCAGATAGAGTCATTCTTTTGTCCAGGCCAGCCTGAACTGCAATCCTTCTATTTATGCTTCCCACTTCTTCACCTGGGATGACAGGTGTGTGCCACCACACCCATCTTTTTTCCAATGAGATAAGGTCTCATGAATGTTTATTGCCCAGACTGGTCTGGAGCTGAGATCCTCCCAATTTCAGCCCCCCAAGTAGCTAGGATTTCAGGCATGAGCCACCAGCAGCCCACTATATTTTAATTTTTTCTCTTCCTTCCTTCTTTTCTTCCTCCCTCCCTCCTTTCCTTTCTTCCTTACTGGGGTTGACATATTTTTATCATCCAAAGGTGTGTTATAAAGAGCCTATTGAGGCTGAGGAAATTGCCAAATACTCCCTAATCCTAGAGAATCCAAGTTATGATGAAGACACTCACCCAGCAACCATAAAAATGTGAGTACTGTGAGAAAGGAATGGCTCTATGAGATTCTGAATCATTTTCTTAACATGATTCGCTAATAAATTTAAGCAAAATAATGGAAAATAATGTCATGTAGTAAGGGTAATAATTATTCCATCTGCATATGTGTATGCTAGGTCACAAAGTATACTGTAGGTCACAGTTTAAAAAAAATTGAAAGCCACTGTACTAGGTGGACTTAACCAAAACTTTTTTGAGGAAGTGATGTTTCAGCTGAGTTCTGAAAAACAAACAGCTTTTAATTAGTTGTGGAGCTGAGACAGAAGAACATAGGTAGTATTTGGAATCATATACACAAAGGTCCTGTGGTAGGTGGGTCAAGACAGACTGTGGCAATTGAAGGTTAGCATGTCTGGTCTAAGACATGGGAGTTGGCCTAAATGTTGTAAGGCTTCAGAAGGTATATAATTTTTATTCTGAAAGCAGCTGGGAAAAGTTTTAAGCAGAATAGTGGTTTAGTTTTGTGTTAGAAATGATTTAAGCAGAATAGTGGCTCAGTTTTGTGTTAGAAATGATCACTCACTTCAGTATGTGGAACAAAATCACAATAAAAGAGCGCAGAGGATACACAGAGACTAGCTGTCCATGTGAGAGGTAACGGAGGCTTAGACTTTGAAGACAGCAGTAGAGGGAGAGTAAAAAGGCTGGACTCCGGAGCTTGAGAGAAAACATGCCAGAGGACTTGAGATGGGTGGTGGTAAAGGAGAGGAAATGCCAGGAAAGGTACCATCCCTTGATGCACGAGCTCTGGGGACGAGGATCAGTTTGGGGGAGGGGAAGTCAGTAGCTCACTTTGCCTATGTTGAGTTTGAGGCTCACTTGAGACAAGTGGGGGAGATGGCTTGTAAACAGGTATGTTTAAGAGTTTGAATTCAGGAAAGACCTGGAGAGTTTGCCAATCATTGACAGGTAATTGAAGTTACCAGAAAAAATGAAGTCAGCTAAAGAGTACAGGGGAGGTGAAAAAATAGAGAGAGTGAGGGAGAGAGGGGAAGGGGAAGGGGAGGGGAGGGCAGGGAAGGGGAGGGGAGAGGGAGGGAAGAAGGAAGGGAGGAAAACAGTACAAGCCAGGCTCCAGTGGCTCACACCTGTAATCCTAGCTACTCAGGAGGCAGAGATCAGGAGAATGGAGATTTGAAACCAGCCCCAGGCTAACAGTTCAAGAGACTCTATCTTGAAAATATCCAAAACAAAAAGGGGCTGGTGGAGTAGCTCAAGCGGTAGAGTG